CCTCCCTTAGAGGGTCCGCAGCCTGTCCGGTCACAGCCACAGCTACAGCCTGCCTCCCCTTTGCCTGCTCCTTCTCCCTACGCTGGTCCGACTGGAGGTCTTACTGAGCGTCGTGAGCCTGCGTCTCGTCCTGCGTCGCCTGTTCGTACTGAGCGCGCTAGTGGTCGCGGGTCGCGTCAGCGTCCTCCTCCTGTCCCTGGCACGCACCGGATGTCACTCTGCGTCCGTCCACTGCTCCTCTACGTGCCCCTTTGCCTTCTCCTCCTGCTTCCTCTCTTCCTGCTCTTGCCGACCCGGAGTCAGACTCTCTTCGTGCTGCCAGTCCTACTGTCACGCGTCTCCTGGCTACTGCTGTCACTGACCCCTCCTTCGAGTCGTCTGCTGCGTCTGCCCTTGTCACTGAGCTTGTCGACTTTGCTGCGCGCTGTCGTCTAGACTACGCTGCTCGTCTTGTCACTGAGTCTGAGTCCGCCTGTCCTCCGTCCGTCGGGGGTGAGTGTGCCCTTGGCACGGACGTCCTTGAGGACAGGCAGGAGGAGTTCCAGTGTCTGGCCGCCGCTTCACCTCGTCTCGCGTCTGTACTGCTAGCCCCTGAGGGAGACCCGGATGCACCAGACATCCCGACTCCGCGCTCTTACGCGGAGGCGATAGAGGGTCCCTACTCCTCTCAGTGGCAGGCAGCTATGGATGCAGAGATGGCTTCCTGGAAGTCCACAGGCACCTACGTTGACGCTGTTCCCCCTCCTGGGGCGAACATCGTCAGTGGCATGTGGATTTTCAGGGTGAAGCGGCCGCCGGGTTCTCCGCCTGTCTTCAAGGCGCGTTATGTGGCTCGTGGCTTCAGTCAGCGGCAGGGGGTTGACTACTTTCAGACCTTCTCCCCCACCCCGAAGATGACCACTCTTCGGGTTCTGCTACACGTTGATGCTCACCGTGACTACGAGCTGCACTCTCTCGACTTCAGCACAGCTTTCTTGCAGGGCAGCCTGCACGAGGAGATCTGGCTGCGTCGCCCACCTGGCTTCACTGGGTCTTTCCCTCCTGGTACCCAGTGGAGTCTCCGGCGTCCAGTCTACGGTCTCCGCCAGGCGCCACGTGAGTGGCACGACACACTGAGGACTACGCTCGCGGCACTTGGGTTTGCTCCTTCCACTGCCGACCCGTCGCTGTTTCTGCGCACCGACACCTCTCTGCCGCCGTTCTACATCCTCGTGTACGTCGACGACTTGGTCTTTGCCACAGCTGACACTGCTGGACTCGCCTACGTGAAGTCCGAGCTGCAGAAGAGACACACGTGCACTGACCTGGGTGAACTGCGCAGCTACCTTGGCTTGCAGATCACCCGGGACAGAGCACGCCGCACCATTACCCTGACTCAGTCACACATGGTGCAGCAGGTCCTTCAGCGCTTCGGCTTCACGTACTCCTCGCCTCAGGCCACTCCTCTGCCTACTCGCCACTCGCTCTCAGCTCTGCCTTCGGATGAGTCCGTAGAGTCGAGTGGCCCGTTTGCAGAGCTTGTTGGCTGCCTCATGTACCTGATGACCTGCACACGACCTGACCTCGCATACCCTCTTAGCATTCTCGCACGCTTTGTTGCTCCTGGGAGACACCGACCAGAGCACATGGCTGCAGCGAAGAGGGTGTTGCGCTACTTGTGCAGTACGTCGGGCATGGGGCTAGTGCTTGGAGGGCGCAGTCCAGTGGTCCTCACTGGGCACGCAGACGCTTCTTGGGCTGACGACCAGGCTACGCAGCGGTCGTCACAGGGTTACACCTTCAGCCTTGGTTCCGGCTCTGTCTCGTGGCGGGCTACCCGCTCGTCTTCTGTTCTCGGCTCCAGTTGTGAGGCTGAGATCTACGCTGGGGCTATGGCTGCACAGGAGTTACGCTGGCTCACCTACCTGCTGACCGACCTTGGAGAGCAGCCTCGTTCTCCTCCAGTCCTGTACGTAGACAACAAGGCCATGCTGGCCTTGTGTCGAGAGCAGCGACTGGAGCACAGAACGAAGCACATTGCTCTTCGCTACTTTCTTGCTCGTGAGCTACAGCAGCGTGGACAGCTGCGACTTGCGTACGTGGCCTCTGAGGCCAACACTGCTGATGTCTTCACCAAGGCACTTGCGCCTTGTGATCATCAGCGTTGCTGCACGCAGTTGGGTCTTGTGCCTGTCTTGCCTCACTTGCTCTCCTCTTGACCTTGCTTGTACTTTCGCATATATATACTCTTGCTCTTGTATATCTCTATATATGATCTTGCATGTGAACTGGCCTTGTGGCCTTTGAACTTGTGCTCGGAATGTGTGGTGACTTTGTGATCCACCCTGAGCTTTGCTTTGCTTTGCTTGACTGGTCTTGTGACCCCTTGTTCTCCCCCACTTTGCCTATGGGGGTGTGTCAGAACTTATAGCTTACTTGTTTCTGTAGGCTATAGTGGGGTATCCCATAGGGGGTACAACCCAATTAGGGTTTCCTATTTGTACTCACTTCGTTCATAGTCATTCTCCTTCTTTGGTTTAACAGAGACATGGGCACAGTACGGCACCCGCCTGCAATTTTGGTCGTCCTACCACCCGCAAACCGACGGACAGACAGAGAGGACTAACCAAACGATGGAGCAGCTGATCCGCACGAACTGCCCGGACATCACCAAGTGGGAGGATTCCCTTCCCATGCTCGAGTTTGCGTACAATAACGCCCCATGTGCAACGACCAAGCAGTCACCCTTCTACCTCAATTACGGGATAGACCCGGTGGTACCCTCATCAACGACTCCCGACAACCCGGTCCCCAGGTCACAGCAGTTTATTTCGGAGCTCCAGGCAGCGCGCGCCAAAGCAGCGGACTTTATCCGAAAATCAAATTCGAACGGCAGCCGCTACGCTGACCAACATCGCCGCAATTTACCTTTTCGCGAGGGGCAGATGGTTCTCCTGGACACCAAAAACCTCAAACTGCCCCAACCTGCAAAACTATGTCCACGCTACGTGGGGCCTTTCCGCGTCATCCGGATGCTGACACCGGTCATTGCGAAACTTCTCCTCCCGGACGACTGGCATATTCATGACGCTTTCCACGTCAGTCTACTTCGCCACTACGTGGCACCCCAGTCATCTGACGTCGCTCGACCCCACCAGGCGCCAAGTGTCCGACCGGTGGCAGATCCCACACTCCAACCTTGGAAGATCTTGGATCATCGCACTCGTGCGACCCCCGCTGGAAGACACGTCGATTTTCTCCTGCGCTGGGTGGATCGCACGACCGACGACGACACGTGGGTCCCGGCTGACTCACTACAAGGGCACTCGGTCCTTCGGCAATATCTTGCTCGCCGGCACGTGCCTGATGTTGACCACCTTTCTTGAAGGGGGGGGTAGTGTAAGGAATTTTCGCCAATTCCTTACTGAGGCACCTCTTACGCGTACAACCCCAATTTTCGGAATTCAGGCTCGGTCCGTCGACCTCGCCTTCCGAACGTCTTCTGCGTCGCCTTCGGGTTTTCCAAACCCAAACCTACACCCAACCTTCGCGTGACTCCGCGATCCCGGCTTAGCTAGCTATGCTATATTATGCCTAGGCCCTGTTGTTTGCTCAGTAGTTGTAATCACTTCCGCGATATTGCATTCTGCGCACTCTTCTTTCATACAACTCATAACAGGTTGTGTCACTTCAGTAACAATACGTGCGACTCCGTCGCACAATCCGGCCAACTGTGCGACCTGTAAATTTGACACTTCTGCAAACCGGCCTGTAAATCGGCCACCAAATCTGTCAGATTTCAACACCTTGTAAATGTGGCTGGATGATGGTCGGTTTAGCATTCGACCATTCTGTCGACTTTGACGAAAAAAGGAGTCGACCAAAAGGGCGACAAATTTGCAGCCAAATCACATTGTAGCGGATCTGACGCACCCTAAGGGCACCTCACGACTAGTTCACAGAGACAGTTACAAGATGCCGCGAGTTCTCGTGAACACACGCTTGCACCCCTCCAGACCAGAACCTCAGCCAAAATAGGCTTTGGCTTGGCACGCCTCGCTCATGCCTAACCTGATTTCACTTTCTGAACCCAATCATCCCTCCAAGGCCTCACCGACAAAAAGTAAAAAGCTTCTGTACCGTTCTGGAGGCATAAAGCACCACATTGTAACGCTCGTTTGATAATGCAACGCAAAATCTCCCACTGTTAAGCACCTCTGGTGAAGTGTTGCGCGGCGGTGAGTGCTGTTGTTCCTACAGCAGCTCAGGAATCAGGATATCGGGGGACCTTTCTTTAGACCGTCGCGAAGCAAGACTGTGCATATGTGAAAGCGGTAGATGCTTATTACTGCTATAGTGATGCTGCTACTTGCCTCTTAGGCTAGACATCAGTCGTCGCGGCCTGAAAGTCGAGTCCGCGTGCTAGTAGGCGGCATGGACGACGCTTCGCAGTGCAGAACGCGCTCGCAGAATGTGTTAAACTTTAAAAATGGAGATGCTAGCAGCGCATCTAGACCGAGGCAGCAGCAGCAGCGTTTGCGTCATACATCCACTGCTAATCGCCATGACTGCCAGAAAGCAGTAACCGTCGGGGATCTAGAATGTCAACGGCGTCGAAGCGGTATCTGCGCATGTCGCGTATTCCGGCGCAGAGGACGGCAATCCCTAGCTTCGTTAGCACGTGTCTCGTTGCTCCTGCCGCTCCTTGTCTGCTCGATCGTTTTTACTTCTTCGCCAGTTTCCGTAGCCGTCGTCTTGGAGCAAGAGCAAGGTTTGTGCTTGTATCGCCGCGGTCTTGTGTCGCGCGTGCCTTTATCCGTTTCGAGTGTGATTCAATTTCATTCGGTACACACAGACAGGGCTTGTGAAATCATCTCAAAAGTACCTTGAGCGTGATTTCAAAAGCGCTGCACGACACCATTCCTCTTAATAATTCTCCATTGACTCACGTTGATGCTTCATTGATTAATAATTTTCCGGTTCTCCCTCGTCACCCCCGCCACTGTTCCCTGGGTGTCCAGGTAAGGTATTGGCGGAATGTGCGGTGGAGTTGGGTGCGACGGATTACAACTGGGAACCGAACGCTCCGTGCACGACGGACGAAGGCCTGGTGTGCAACGCTGACGGAACAGTCAACACTATGTGAGTTATCCACAGAGACGAACCAGCACTTTATACGCGTTATAGATTCGCAGTGGAGATGAATCTGATCGGCTAATCCTATCATCAGCGGACCTGTGCGTCGTCGACCTGTGAACAGTGAAACGGTATATCGTGTATGCACATACACTAGGCAGTAAGCAAACAAAACACTCTGCGCTCTGTGCTTTGAAGGGTCGGGGAAAAGAGATAAATCTGTCTGTCCGAACGCTCGTTTCAAAACGCATAAGCTCCATTGAAATGCAGCAACCCAACCTAAAACACGCACGGACCAAATTGCACTCTTGTGATGCATTTTGAGATGGCGCAAAATGGAAAATGCATACACATGTGACATTCTGTCTCCGTCCCCTTAACTCGCTCTTGTTCTCTCAAGTTTTTGCTGCATGCTTACTTCCCCTTCCTGTTTTTGCTGTTCCCTTGTTGCTGCTTGCAATGCCCTGCAGTGACTTGTCTAGTACTGGTCTGGAAGGAAGCATCTGCTCCGTTATAGGCAACCTCACTACGCTAGTTACACTGTGAGAGTTGCTTATGATGTTTCAATTCAGAAATTAGGGTTCTCCGTCTTCTGCGAGCGAGCATATGCCAGCCAGCTCACCCTGCCCCTTCACCTTGCCACACTTATTCCCTGCTCCCTCGCCTTGCCTCACACTCCCTCGGCCCCCCACTTCCCTCCCCCACCCCCCGTCCTGCCACCAGCGATCTGAGGAGCTACAACTCGTTGTCAGGCCCCATCCTTGCAAGCATCGTGCCACTCCCCCCGCCGCTCCCCCAGCATCTGCTTGCCACTCACTCCCTCAAACCCCTCAAACCTAGCTTACTCAAACCCCTCCCCCCTCTCCTCTCCACTGCCCCCCTCTTCCCCCACCGCGGCCCTGCCACCAGCGATCTGAGCTACAACTCGTTGTCAGGCCCCATCCCTGCCAGCATAGGGCAGCTTCCCCTGCTGCAGAGGCTGTGAGAGAAGGGGGGGAGGGGGGGGGGGGGGGGAAGGGAGGAAGGGATATCAGTGAGCTGGGTACGGGGTGGAGGGGGGGATGCGGGAATAAAACAAAGGTTTGGATCAAGCTTCGGTCGGGCCCCATCCCTGCAGAGGCTGTGAGAGAGAGAAAGGGGGGGAGGGAAGGGAAGGGGTATGAGTAAGCTGGATAAGAGAAAGGCACGCGTGTTACCAGAAAGCTGATTGCTGCTCTTGCCCCTATATTGGTATGACTTTTGAGAATTCTCAAAAGCCTCTTCCCTTAGGCGCTCAATCTCTTCATCCCCCATCCCCATCCTACCACCAGCGATCTGAGCTACAACTCGTTGTCAGGCCCCATCCCTGCCAGCCTAGGGCAGCTTCCCCTGCTGCAGACACTGTGAGGAAAAAGGGGGAGGAGGAAGGGGGGGTCGTTATCGGGGAAGAGGGGAGAGTGGAGGGGAAATGGATGCGGTGTTTGGCGGATGGGAAGGATTGGATGATGCACTATCTGATCTTATTGTTCTCCCCCCATCTCCCTATCTCTCCCTCGCACTCTCCCTCTACTCACTCTCCCTATCTCTCCCTCGCACTCTCCCTCTACTCTCCCTATCTCTTCCTCCACTCACTCTCGTAGCAACCACTCATACAACAAGCGTCCTGGAGAACTCTTTTCTTCCACCATCCGCTTTTGAGGTTCTCCAAAAGAGCTCAAAACTCATCTCTCCCTCCGTCCTTCCTTTCTCTGTCTCGCTCTCCCTCTCCCTCTCCCTCCCTCTCGCTCAGAGCAATCTCTCATGCGACATCCATCCTAGGGGATACGACTTTTGAGGCGCCTCAAAATTCATCCTAAAGGATACCCATTATCACCCTCTGAGGCATCTCAGCAAAACTGAAACCTCATCTCTCCCTCAAAGGGTCCTTTGTACGAATGTGGAGGGTACTGACGTGCAGGTTTTAAGTTTAAACAAACAACAACAATCCCCCTCCCTTCCTATCCCCATCTCTCCGTCTCCTTCCCTCTCCCCAACTCTTTCTCTCCCTCCCTCTCCCACCCTCTTCCCATCTCTCCCTCTCTCTTCCTCTCCCCAATCCTCCCTCTCCCTCCCTCTTCCCATCTCACTCTCTCTCCCCCCCTCTCCCCAACTCTCCCTCTCCATCCCTCTCCCTCTCCCTCGCTCTCCCCATCGCTTCACCCCCCTTCTCCCACTCGCAGCGACCTTTACGTCCTAGAGGCTGCCATGCCTTCCTCCGTCGTCTTTTGAGGCATTTCAGAGGAACTTATAACTCATCCCTCCCTCTCCCTATTCCTCCCTCTCCCCATCCCTCCCTCTCCCTATCTCTCCCTCTCCCCATCTGCCCCCACTTTCTCCACTCTCACAGCGACCTCTCATACAATACAACGACCTAGAGAGGGTGCCTTGCCTTCCACCATCCATTAGCTCTCAGAAGAACTCAGAACCCTTTTTCCACTTCACATCTCCTCCTATCTCTCCCTCTCTCCCTCCCCCCCACGCTCCCACTCACAGCGACCTCTCATACAACGACCTAGACGGTGCCTTGCCTTCCACCATCACCTCCTTATCCAACCTTAAAGTCCTGTACGCGTTTCTGCACTGCCACTATACTGTGTTAAGATAAACGCCATTTGAGATGTCTCAAAGAATAAGGGCGCGTGTGGTCTTGTCTTACAAATCTGTGAAAGTTTATGTTTTTAGATCGAATGTAGCATTTGAACAAAACTCGACTTTCCTTGCAGCGAAGTTCGAATCTTGGGTCTCCAACACAGACGAGTCACAATCACACACCCAAGGTCGAACACAGAGATTCGACCTTCTAGGGAAGGCGGCGAGCCGCCCGTACGGGGTGTAGGTTACCTGGTACAGCACGACACACCAACTTAGTGTGCGACGAAGCTCCGCGATCTTCGCAAAGCATTCGTGATTTTCGGATGGCTTTCGTATGTGCTGAAACAACACACACTCGCCTCACGTGCACCCGCACGTTCACCCGTGTGATTCGAGTTGAGTTCACATTTGACATTCGCACTTATGTGCCCCCAAAATTCTCGTGCCTTCGCCAAAGCGTCTTGACGACATTGGCGAAGCTGGTAACCACACAAAGTTCGACTTTTTTTCCGAACTTGAAAATAGATCACACGCGCCCTAAGTGCCTTGCCTTCCACCATTGCCTCCTTATGCAACCTTAAAGTCCTGTACGCGTTTCTGCACTGCCACTAAACGGTATGGATTAGAGTTGTCTCAAAAACTAAATGGCTTGCCTTCCACCATCGCCTCCTTATCCACCCTCGAAGTGCATCAGATCCTGTAAGCATTCCTGCCTTTACTGCCACTAACCAAGTTTACTCCCACATCGGCCTCTGAGGCACCTGTAAAGAACTCAAATCTCATCTCTCTTCATCCCTCTCTTCCTCACTCTCTCTCCCCACCCCTCGCCCACTCACAGCGACCTCTCATCCAACTTCATTGAGGGTGCTTTGCCTCCCACCATCGGCTACTTATCCCGCCTTCAAGTCCTGTACACAATTCTTCTCTGCCACCAAACTGTTGAGATATGATTTGAGAGGCCTCGGAATTAGACGCCTTGCCTCCCACCCACCATTGCCTTGCCTCCCACCCACCATTGCCTTGCCTCCCACCCACCATTGCCTTGCCTCCCACCCACCATTGCCTTGCCTCCCACCCACCATTGCCTAGCCTCCCACCCACCATTGCCTTGCCTCCCACACACCATTGCCTTGCCTCCCACACACCATTGCCTTGCCTCCCACCCACCATTGCCTTGCCTCCCACCCACCATTGCCTTGCCTCCCACCCACCATTGCCTTGCCTCCCACCCACCATTGCCTTGCCTCCCACCCACCATTGCCTTGCCTCCCACCCACCATTGCCTTGCCTCCCACCCACCATTGCCTTGCCTCCCACCCACCATTGCCTTGCCTCCCACCCACCATTGCCTTGCCTCCCACCCACCATTGCCTTGCTTCTCCTCCCCTCATCGCAGCAATCTTCTCAACAACCAAATGAATGGAATATTACCCGCGTCTCTGAGTGCGCTGTCCGATTTTAAATTCTTCTTTCCCTTTTGACAAATATCCCAAATACCTGTCAGCAATCTCTGCTTCTCCTCCCCTCATCGCAGCGATTTGCTTCACAACCAGATGAATGGAACGTTACCCCCATCTCTGAGTGCGCTCACGAATATGCAGATTCTGTTCGTCACACTCTGCCAACTCTTTCCCAACTCTCTCACACATTCACTTCTCACTCGCTCTCCGGCTCGATCTCCCAACCCTCTCACTCACGCTGCTTCTCTCCGCTCAGTCTTTTCATTGAGGCGTCTTTAAATCAAACGTTCCCTCTCTTGGTGTGCTTCCATTAGTCTCATGAAAAAAGGAGTGTTTTGAGACGTCTCAAAACGCTTCCATTAGTCTCAAACCATGACTTGCAACTTCTATCCTCTCCTCTTCAAGAACATCTTGATTTTGTGACGTCTCCAGAACAGTTTATCACTCCTTTGTAGGCGCCTCTCTCCCTCTCAATTCGTCTTCTCTTCGCCATGCACCTTCCTGCTCCTTCCTCTGAAACCACGCTTGCATGCTCCTTCCTTTGAAACCTTGAGAACAAATCCTCTTCTTGCCACCATGCATGCACCAACACCGCTCTTGCTCCCTCAATCAGTGACCTTGAGAACAATACTTTTAATGGAAGCTTCCCAACTGGGCGTGTCAAAACTAACTCAGATCCTCTTCTTGCCACCATTTATGCACCAAACGACCCGTGCTCCCTCAATCAGTGACCTTGGGAACAATACCTTCTCTGGAAGCTTCCCCACTGGCGTGTCAAAACTAACTCAGCTCTCGTTCCTGTAAGTGTCACCTGCGCTGCACTAACAATCTCTTGTATCAAACATGGGACCACAGTGGCGAGACTTGATTCATCAGGTTAGATGCAATATTGTTCCTTTGGCCCTTTGTTCCGTGTTTTCCTTTCTGGTCTTCATTGCAAGCAAGCTGCAAACCTATCCTCCCTTTTTTTTTTTTTTTTTTTTTTACCAGAGTTCGGCTAGGAGAAAATGGGCCTTTTTTTAGTTAAATAATTATACCTATATTTAGTGCAAAACCGGCAGTAGAAAACGGGCTGCATCTTACGTATGTGCCCAGTTTGTGAGTGACATGTGCCAGATTTGTCACTGGCTTGCTTGTGACTGGCTCGTTGTGACTGACAAGTGATGTATGCCGGACGTGCTTTGCAGGTCGCTCTTTTACAACAAGTTTGAAGGATCGGTTCCCTCGTCCATCTCTCGCCTCTCAAAGCTTCAAGCATTGTACGCGAAGAATACGCCGAGAATGCGTCTGCAACAAAGAATCTACAGCTTTTAGCTACAGCTAGAAACTACGGCTGAAAGCTACAGCTAGAAACTACAGCTGAAATCTACAGCTAGAAAGTACAGCTGAAAGCTACAGCTAGAAACTACAGCTGAAAGCTACAGCTAGAAACTACAGCTGAAAGCTACAGCTAGAAACTACAGCTGAAAGCTACAGCTAGAAACCACAGCTGAAAGCTACAGCGAGAAACTACAGCTGAAAGCTACAGCTAGAAACTACAGCTGAAAGCTACAGCTATTGTGTGCCATACCCCAGTGCCCCACTGTGTATTTCTATGAGGCACTCCTCTCAAATCCCAGTTCAAAGCATTGTGTGGACGTCCGTTGACCTCTGCTGCCCTGTGTTGACCTCTGTTGACCCTCTGTTGACCTGCGTTGACCTTTGTTGTTCTATTCCTGTGCACCTTTGGTGCAGCAATTTGGGTGGAAACGTCAACTTTGAGGGAGAAATCCTTCCAACAGTAGCAACCCTCAGCAGCTTGGCTGTTGTGTAAGCAAGCCCCTTCCGTTCACACATTGCTGACTAACAGAGCTTTAATTGTAAGAAGGTCACTTAACTCCTTAAAGGTGGAAACTACAACTTTGAGGGGGGGATCCTTCTGGCAGGCAGTAGCACCCCCCTTAGCAGCTCATCGGTTGTGTAAGCATGTCCCCTGTAGTAACCCACATTGCTGATTATGGTAGCAAATGTTTTTCTGCAGCAAGGTCGCTTAACTGTGGGTGGACCGTGGACTGTGGGTCGCTTAACTGGGTCGCTTAACATCAACACTGCGGGAGAGGCACAGGGGTTATAAATTCAATCAGCCCTTTTGGATCTGAAGTGTTTGACTTTTGAGTTGACTCAGAAGGCACAGGGGTTTTGAATTCAATCAGCCCTTTTGGATCTGAAGTGTTTGACAAGCAACCCTGGGCCCAGTGACCCCGAATACAAGACAATTTTTAGGTGCCTAAAAAATCCTTTTCATGAAATACAATACAGCTTCGTTGGGTGCATTCGCCATGCATACAGAAACTCTCAGGCGCTTTCTCTCTCATCTCACTCTTCTCTCTCTTCTCAACCCCCTCTCTGTTCTCTCTACTCCCTCTCAACTAGTTATCCAGTTCCATCCCTGCACATTGCACGGGATCCCTCTGTACCAGCCGTTTTTCACTCTCTTCTCACTCGCTTCTCTCAACAACGCCGTCCCTCCAGCGACCTTGCTTACAACAAGTTCTCTGGCTCCCTCTGCACCTGCATAAATCTTCTCTGCGGGAGAAGATTTACAAGAAGTTCTCTGGCTCCACCCCTGCAGATTTATGCAGGCTCCCTCTGCACCTGCACGCTTTGCCACTTTCTCACTCTTCTCTCTTCTCTCTTCTCACTCGCTTCTCTCTCAACAACGCCGTCCCTGCAGCGACCTTGCTTACAACAGGTTCTCTGGCTCCATCCCTACCGAGTTTGGCAGGCTTACCAATCTGCAAACTTGGTAAAAAACAAAATAACGCTTGGAGAAGGGGGGAGTGAGGGGGAGCGGGAAGAGGGGGGGCGGGCGGGGGTGTGGTGATGGAGCTGATTTGGCAGGCTTACCAACCTGCAAACTTGGTAAGAAGCTGATTTCTGAGGTGCCTAAATAGCAGATTCAGAATTTCAGGATTTCTCGCTGAGTATCCTTGTCAACACCTCTCCACGTCTCCACGCAAGAACCGTCAACAGGCGTCCATGCAAAAACACAGGCCCATCAAGTGACTTTTGAGGCGCCTCAAAACCCATCAAGTGGAGAGTCAACTCTGCTCCGCATGCAAGCAACGTTTTCAAGACACTCTTGTCTGGCATATTTTCTGTTTACACCATCCGTGACACCCTCTCAAACCCCCGGATACTCTATCGCACCCCTTCATACCCCCCACCACCCCTGTTATTCCCCCTCCCTCCATCAGTATCTTTCTATACAACCAGTTCACGGGGAGCATTCCAGAAACCCTCTCCAAGCTGAAAAAACTCAGTCACATGTATGCCTGCAGAGTTTGATGGTGTGGTGCGATGCGGTGTGGTGTGGTTTGGTGCAGTGCGGCGTGGTGCGGCGTGGTGTGGCGCGGTGTGGTGCGGTGCAGTGCGTGCGGTGTGGTGTGGTGCTCGGGAAACTCGCTCACCATTCCTCTCTTGAAGGGGCCTCTCACCATCCCTTCCATTATCTCTGCCTCCCCAGTGACATCCATTGTCTCACCATCCCTTTCTTTGTCAAATCACATGCCATCCCTCCCACCATCCCACCCACCCACCATCCCTCCCACCATCCTTCCCACCACCCCTCCCACCATCCATCCCACCATCCCTCCCACCATCCCTCCCACCATCCTTCCCACCACCCCTCCCACCATCCATCCCACCATCCCTCCCACCATCCCTCCCACCATCCCTCCCACCATCCCTCCCACCATCCCTCCCCTCCCACCATCCCTCCCACCATCCCTCCCACCATCCCTCGCACCAACCCTCCCACCATCCGTCTCACCATTTCTCCCCTCCCTCGCACCATCCCATCTCGCCAGGGACTTCGCCCAAAACATCTTCCGAGGCACCATCCCTTCATTCTTCGCCACCCTGACCAAACTCGACATGCTGTATGTTCTACTCTGATGGGACATTCTGTTCATCAACTGATTCTTTCTGTAGAAAGTCCAAACATCACGTAGAGCTTTGCCACCCTCACCAAGCTCGACATGCTGTATGTTCTATTCTGATGGCACATTCCGTTTCGTGAGGCACCTTACAATCATGTTCTTATCACATCTTGTGATTCTTTTGAGGCGTCTCAAAAACACACTCATATCACGTGCCTTATGATCATGCTCTTATCATTCTTGAGGCACCTTATGATCATGCTCTTATCATGCTCTTATCGCATCTTACGGTTCCTGCATCGCCATAAGCTTGTGATGTGATGGCATGTAGAGTTGACTCAGAAGTTGGTTTCCTGAGATTGATCCATGGAAGCCATTAGATTACTCGAATCAAAACGGCAAGGGTATGAGTGCATTTGAAGTCCGAGCATTGCTGAGGAAGAATGGCTGCTTTATTCATTCTACCATGACTTAAGTGTTTCTTGTATCAAAGTAATGTTGTGAGGGAAGTGCAACAATATGTCACATTACCTCCACTCCAACCGCCTTCCCCTGTTGCAGGCACCTGGACACTAACCAGCTCCCTGGAGAGATCTCCATAATACCCAATAATCTATTCTCCGACAACGTTGCCCCGTTGTGCAGGCACTTTGACAATAACCAGTTTTCCGGAGAAATTCCCTCCCAGTTGGGAAGCCTCACAAATCTCACATACCTGTACGGTTCCAAGAATCCCCTCTCTCTACCTGGCTTTTAGATTCTAAATAAGGTGCAAAGGCAAACCTCTGACAGAGTTTAGGGTAAAAGTGCAAACTTGTTCTAGTAACCTCACACACACTCTGGTACGGTCGGCTGTCTGTGTAAATACTTGTATTATTGGCATTATCGCCGCACGTTGACAGTATAATGCGATGCATTACTTTAGCACCCTCCACCTCCACCTCCACCTCCACCTCCTACAGGGGTTTCGCCACCAGTGCTCTCCAATCCAATGCCACTTAAAATGCTCACCCACCCACCCATCAACGCCCGCCACTAATTCTGCTTCGCTGCAGTGGCTTCGCACAGTGCTCTCCAATTTCACCCAAAGTGCCCCATTGCCATCCCATCACCTGCCACCCTCCACCTCCCTACAGGGGTTTCGCCACCAATGCTCTCTCGGGCCTCGTTCCACCCACCCTCGGGAATCTCCTCCGCCTCACGGAGCTGTGAGTGTAAAGGGTTTGTGAGTGTAAAGGAGCTGTGAGTGTAAAGGGGTTGTGAGTGTAAAGGAGCTGTGAGTGTAAAGGGGTTGTGAGTGTAAAGGAGCTGTGAGTGTAAAGGGGTTGTGAGTGTAAAGGAGCTGTGAGTGTAAAGGAGCTGTGAGTGAAAAGGGTTTGTGAGTGTAAAGGAGCTGTGAGTGAAAAGGGGTTGTGAGTGTAAAGGAGCTGTGAGTGTAAAGGGGTTGTGAGTGTAAAGGAGCTGTGAGTGAAAAGGGTTTGTGAGTGTAAAGGAGCTGTGAGTGTAAAGGGGGCGTGAGTGTAAAAGAAGGTGTGAGAAGGTAAGGAGAGGTGTGTGTGTGAGCGAGTGTAAGGGAGGGTGTGAGTGATTTAAGTGGTTGTGAGTGTGAGTAGGGGTGAGCAAAACACCAAACAGGTTTGTTTTTTTGGCTTAAAGCCCAAGACCTGAATTAGTTCGTGTCCGTAGGGTTGACATGTCAGGTGAAAGCGTGTCAACCCGAATCGCATTCAAATTAGAGTGTCAAGCACTGTAGCGGAAGTGTCAAGTCGAAGCGCAGGTACGAACATCAGCGACGCAATTTCATTGGTTTGAGAATTTGTCATGGGTAGATCTGCTAGGCAACGAACAATTCAAAAGACATATTGTGTGCTGATTGGGCAGCATCTGGTCGTGAGATAGGCACCTGCGACAATCTTCTCTCGTTTGTAGGTTTGTCTGTGCCAATTTCAAAAGTGTCCAACGATTTGTATTGGCTGGCAACCTGCAATTTCTTGACACTCTGCCAACAATGTTGGCAGAGTGTCAAAATGCCGAATTGACACTACCCACTTTGACATGTCATCCCTACGGACACAACCTTACAAACTAAAAAAGGCAAACTGTGCACAGTTTGCCTTCCGAAACCAAAGTTGACCTCCCGAGCCAGGATGGTTACCAGACAGGCGTCGCATCCTAAAAGGACTGCGTCGTATATCAGTACGCTTCTACTTGGCGAGAGTCCCAACCACCCTGTGCGCAAGGAAGAAGGGAACTACCTGTGCACAGTTTGCTTGAAAATTGTAATTCAGGAAAGGCTGTGCGGCTCCTACTCGAGAGAGACCCTAAGCTTGGAGCCCATAGCGAATTCCTGCCTTCAACCCCGTTGCAACGCGAGAGTAGTTATTGCTCGTTCCAAGCTTGAAAGGCGAGAAGCGCATATTACGAGACGCCACTCCCTTCGGTTTCACAAGGTGAACCTCGCTATCCCCTCACATCGTCCTCCACCACCACGCACCGTCACCCTCGCTTCCCCCGTGGTCCCCGTCGCCATTGCCCTCCCATCGCCCTTACCCCTATCCCCTCCCATCGCTTCCTCATCAACGTCGCCGTGCCCCCTGGCGACGCTTCGTGAACCACTCCGCCACCACCCACTTCCTACGTAGTCGTGTCTCCACCATTCCCCACTATCCTGACACGTTTTCTCACTCGGGAAGCCCGTGCACACGCCCACGTTTCTCCTCCCTGCGCGCGCTCCTTTCTTGTAAGCAAACTCAGTTGTATCCTCTCGCCACCCCACACTGTACACGACGTAGAGTACACATTACAGCACTATATCAAGTGACAAACACCCATATTCCCCATGGTTACCTGCGTGTCTTGCTGCCCTCATTAGTCTCTCTGTGACATGTGGCGCAGCTTGCATGTAGACTGATAATAGATCGTTATGCGTAGCCACTTTATTGTCAGGCATGAGCACGCTTAGCCCCACACGCAGGTAGCAAACTGGGGCATGAGCACGCTTAGCCCCTCACGCAGGTAGCAAACTGGGGCATGAGCACGCTTAGCCCCTCACGCAGGTAGCAAACTGGGGCATGAGCACGCTTAGCCCCTCACGCAGGTAGCAAACTGGGGCATGAGCACGCTTAGCCCCACACGCAGGTAGCAAACTGGGGCATGAGCACGCTTAGCCCCACACGCAGGTAGCAAACTGGGGCATGAGCACGCTTAGCCCCTCACGCAGGTAGCAAACTGGGGCATGAGCACGCTTAGCCCCTCACGCAGGTAGCAAACTGGGGCATGAGCACGCTTAGCCCCTCACGCAGGTAGCAAACTGGGGCATGAGCACGCTTAGCCCCTCACGCAGGTAGCAAACTGGGGCATGAGCACGCTTAGCCCCTCGCGCAGGTAGCAAACTGGGGCATGAGCACGCTTAGCCCCTCACGCAGGTAGCAAACTGGGGCATGAGCACGCTTAGCCCCTCACGCAGGTAGCAAACTGGGGCATGAGCACGCTTAGCCCCTCACGCAGGTAGCAAACTGGGGCATGAGCACGCTTAGCCCCTCACGCAGGTAGCAAACTGGGGCATGAGCACGCTTAGCCCCACACGCAGGTAGCAAACTGGGGCATGAGCACGCTTAGCCCCTCACGCAGGTAGCAAACTGGGGCATGAGCACGCTTAGCCCCTCACGCAGGTAGCAAACTGGGGCATGAGCACGCTTAGCCCCTCACGCAGGTAGCAAACTGGGGCATGAGCACGCTTAGCCCCTCGCGCAGGTAGCAAACTGGGGCATGAGCACGCTTAGCCCCTCACGCAGGTAGCAAACTGGGGCATGAGCACGCTTAGCCCCTCACGCAGGTAGCAAACTGGGGCATGAGCACGCTTAGCCCCTCACGCAGGTAGCAAACTGGGGCATGAGCACGCTTAGCCCCTCACGCAGGTAGCAAACTGGGGCATGAGCACGCTTAGCCCCTCACGCAGGTAGCAAACTGGGGCATGAGCACGCTTAGCCCCTCACGCAGGTAGCAAACTGGGGCATGAGCACGCTTAGCCCCTCACGCAGGTAGCAAACTGGGGCATGAGCACGCTTAGCCCCTCACGCAGGTAGCAAACTGGGGCATGAGCACGCTTAGCCCCTCACGCAGGTAGCAAACTGGGGCATGAGCACGCTTAGCCCCTCACGCAGGTAGCAAACTGGGGCATGAGCACGCTTAGCCCCTCACGCAGGTAGCAAACTGGGGCATGAGCACGCTTAGCCCCTCACGCAGGTAGCAAACTGGGGCATGAGCACGCTTAGCCCCTCACGCAGGTAGCAAACTGGGGCATGAGCACGCTTAGCCCCTCACGCAGGTAGCAAACTGGGGCATGAGCACGCTTAGCCCCTCACGCAGGTAGCAAACTGGGGCATGAGCACGCTTAGCCCCTCACGCAGGTAGCAAACTGGGGCATGAGCACGCTTAGCCCCTCACGCAGGTAGCAAACTGGGGCATGAGCACGCTTAGCCCCTCACGCAGGTAGCAAACTGGGGCATGAGCACGCTTAGCCCCTCACGCAGGTAGCAAACTGGGGCATGAGCACGCTTAGCCCCTCACGCAGGTAGCAAACTGGGGCATGAGCACGCTTAGCCCCTCACGCAGGTAGCAAACTGGGGCATGAGCACGCTTAGCCCCTCACGCAGGTAGCAAACTGGGGCATGAGCACGCTTAGCCCCTCACGCAGGTAGCAAACTGGGGCATGAGCACGCTTAGCCCCTCACGCAGGTAGCAAACTGGGGCATGAGCACGCTTAGCCCCTCACGCAGGTAGCAAACTGGGGCTCTGAGTTTCCAATGGACAGTATAATGACGCTTGTTGAACGTGCTGCACACACTAGACACTGGATGGTTTGCCATCGAAGCCTGGATGGGAAGGAGGGAAATGAATGGAAAGGGAATGCGGTGGTAGGTAGGTAGGGAGGAACGAATGTAGGGTGGAAGGGAGAGTGAGGTGCATGTTGTCATGAATGGCGCACAGTGAGTGGCCTCAGGTGAACGCAGATGGAGTGATGGGGCCATGGGCGACGGGAAGGGAAGTGAGGGCGATGAGCCCTGGTTGGATGAGAGAGAAGGGCGGATGAGGGGGAGGGCGGAAGAAGGGGAGGGAGGACGAGAGGAAGGGAGGAAGAGAGGAAGGGCGGATGAGAGGGAGAGAGGATGAGAGGGAGAGAGGATGAGAGAAGGGAGGATGAGAGGAAAGGAGGATGAGAGGAAGGGCGGATGAGAGGAAAGGAGGATGAGAGGAAGGGCGGATAAGAGGAAGGGAGGATGAGATGAAGTTAGGATGAGAGGAAGGGCGGATGAGGGGGAGGGAGGACGAGAGGAAGGGTGGACGAGAGGAAGGGTGGATGAGAGGGAGGGCGGTTGAGGGGGAGGGCGGAAGAATGGGAGGGAGGACGAGAGGAAGGGAGGACGTGAGGAAGGGCGGATGAGAGGGCGAGAGGATGAGAGAAGGCCGGATGAGAGGAAGGGAGGATGTGAGAAAGGGAGGATGCGACGAAGGGCAGATTTGAGGAAGGGAGGATGAGAGGAAGGGATGATGAGATGAAGGGAGGATGAGAGGAAGGGCGGTTGAGGGAAATGAGGGCGACGGGAAGGGAAATGAGGGCGACGGGAAGGGGAATGATTGCGACGGGAAGGGAAATAAGTGCGACGGGTAGGGAAATGAGGGCGACGAGAAGGGAAACGAGGGCGACGGGAAGGGAAACGAGGGCGACGGGAAGGGAAATGAGGGCGACGGGAAGGAAAATGAGGGCGACGGGAAGGGAAATGAGGGCGACGGGAATGGAATTGAGGGCGACGGGAAGGGAAATGAGGGCGACGGGAAGGTAATTGTGGGCGACGGGAAGGGAAATGTGGGCGACGGGAAGGGAAATGTGGGCGACGGGAAGGGGAGGGCGACGGGAGGGGAAACGAGGGCGACGTGAAGGGAAATGAGGGCGACGGGAGGGGAAACAAGGGCGACGGGAAGATCAAATGAGGACGACGGGAAGATCAAATGAGGGCGACAGGAAGATCAAATGAGGGCGAAGGGAAGCTGAAATGAGGGCGACGGGAAGCTGTAAAGAGGGCGACGGGAAGCTTCTCACCATGCGATATGTGAAAGGCAGACGCGAGCAAACGGCGGGGAGGGGACTTCCCGGGCAGGGCGGGAGGCCAGATGCTGAGAGCGCCTGTAGCGCGTGGGAGAGTCTAATCGGCACCGACTGGCGGCGTAAGAAGGCTACGCATTGCAAACGATGGTTTCTTCCTCCCTGTGACCTATGGGTTGCAGGCGTTGTCAAGTGCCCGTGTTTTAGCCTATACTTTTAGAGTACAGAATAAATCGCCAGGGGAGGGTTGTCGATGTGTCTCGCTAACTCACGTGCGCACTGGCATTTAGTAACGTCATTGCTGTCCTCACCCTAAACATCGCACTTTGCCGGTACAGTCCACTCCACACGGACATTCGCTCCCAACGGCTCTTCCGCGTATTTCTAGAATCTAAGGTCGCGGCCTGCTGAAGGGGACTAAGCTACTAATATGCTTGTTCGAGTGCATGTTTGTCTACTCAAACCGTGCACAGTTTCCCTGGCATGCATGTTGCTTCTCAGGTTTGTCGAATTTGGGAAGAAGAGGCATGGAGTGTTTTGAGTCGACTCAAAACACATATTTGGGAAGAAGAGCCCTGAAGAGCCATGAAGAGCCATGAAGAGCCTGGCAAGCCCAAGACCTGAATTTGAGTCGACTCAAAACACATATTTGGAGATTCTTCCTCCCCCCCTGCCAGAAGAGCCCTGCCTGCTGTCGGAGATTCATCCTCCCCCACGTCAACAACCAATCAGCAAGTCAACATGTTTGTGGCGAACTATTATCAGTCGCAAGCTGTTTTTCAGGCTTCGCCTGTCACTCAACCCATCCGAACCTCCAACTGGCAGCCCGCCGAACCTAGAAATACTCAGTTGACTTCCGTTGAGTAATTCAGGTCTTGGGCTCTAAAGTGTTCGCCGAACAGTGTTCGAGGTTCGCCCGAACACGTTCGTGTTCGGGCCTCTGCTGCAATTTGCCCTGCGACGAACACAAACGTGTTCGAGGTTCGCCCGAACACGCCTTCACAGGCAAACGGCGAACATCTTTTTTTGCTAAAGGTGTTCGCCGAACCAAACAGTGTTCGGTTCGGCAAACGGCTGTGTTCGTGTAGGGGCAAACACGAACACGTTCGTGTTCGCCCCTTGCTCACCCCTAAGTGTAAGGGAGGGTGTGGGTGTAAAGGGGTTATGAGTGTATGTACGTTGCCTTCTCCCTCTCCCCCTCTCCACCCTCCCCCTTTCTTCCTCCCTTCCTTAACCCACCAGTGAGCTCAACGAGAGTGGCACGGTGTGTCCAAGAGCAGGCCAGCCGTGCGTGGTAAAGCAGACCCCCTCCTCCCAGTTCTGCATCAACTGCCCCGACTTCTGCTCCTCCTGCTCCAACAGCCCTGCCCCTTCCCCTGGCTCTCCTGCTGCTAGCCCCTCCCCTCCTCCTCCTCTTCCTCCTCCTGCCAATAACACTTCTTCCTCGTCCTCGTCCGGCCTGCCTCTGGGGGCTATCATTGGCATTGCTGTCGGCGGCGTACTCGTTATTGTCCTCCTCGTTATTGGCCTATTTCTGCTGTGGAAAAGAAGGTCCAAACCCCAAGGTGAAGCACAGATAACCCTATTGATGTCTATTTCTCCCTCCACCCACCCTTGTTTCTGGATTAAATCGCGCGTGTTCGTCTTGCTTCCTCTCTATTAGCATCGCCTTGTATCTTGCTTCCTCTCTCTCTCCATAATGTTCCTCTCTTTATCAACAGCTCCAAGGCACGTCGCCTCCGTGTTGTGTTGTTGTATCCGTCACATGCTGCTGCTTTACATCCGCTTTTGAGGGGCCTCAAATATTGTATCCGTCACAAGCTGCTGGTTTACATCCGGCTTGCGTGCTCTGCTCCCATCCCGTCCATGAGCAACCGACATGGTGACAGAAGGCTGCCAGTTATCAGTCGTACCGAGCCAGGCGCTCATGTGGCAGCGCTACTCCTTGCCCGGTCACTCTTCCACCTTGTGTTCCCATCCCATCCCATCCCATCCCATCCCATCCCATCCCATCCCATCCCATCCCAATCCATCCCATCCCATCCCATCCCATCCCAATCCATCCCCATCCCATCCCATCCCATCCCATCCCATCCCATCCCATCCCATCCCATCCCATCCCATCCCAATCCATCCCCATCCCATCCCATCCCATCCCATCCCATCCCATCCCATCCCATCCCAATCCATCCCCATCCCATCCCATCCCATCCCATCCCATCCCATCCCATCCCATCCCATCCCATCCCATCCCATCCCATCCCATCCCATCCCATCCCATCCCATCCCCATCCCCATCCCATCCCATCCCATCCCATCCCATCCCATCCCATCCCATCCCATCCCATCCCATCCCATCCCATCCCATCCCATCCCATCCCATCCCATCCCATCCCATCCCATCCCAATCCATCCCCATCCCATCCCATCCCATCCCATCCCATCCCATCCCATCCCATCCCATCCCATCCCATCCCATCCCATCCCATCCCATCCCATCCCATCCCATCCCATCCCATCCCATCCCAATCCATCCCCATCCCATCCCAATCCATCCCAATCCCATCCCAATCCATCCCCATCCCATCCCAATCCATCCCCATCCCATCCCAATCCATCCCCATCCCATCCCAATCCATTCCCATCCCATCCCAATCCATCCCATCCCATCCCAATCCATCCCCATCCCATCCCAATCCATTCCCATCCCATCCCAATCCATCCCCATCCCATCCCAATTCATCCCCATCCCATCCCAATCCATCCCCATCCCATCCCAATCCATCCCCATCCCATCCCAATCCATCCCCATCCCATCCCAATCCATCCCCATCCCATCCCATCCCATCCCATCCCATCCCATCCCATCCCATCCCACCCCTTGCCACACTCAAGCAGGCCGGGAGGAGGAGGCCAATGAAAGACAAGCAACCGACGTGGCAACCCAAGGCAGCGCCCTGTCAGTCGTGCTGAGCCAGGCGCTCATGTGCCAGCGCTACTCCTTTGCCACTGTGGCCAAGGCCAGCGCTACTCCTTTGCCACTGTGGCCAAGGCACAGTGCCTAATCCTTTGCCACTGTGGCCAAGGCACAGTGCCTAATCCTTTGCCACTGTGGCCAAGGCACAGTGCCTAATCCTTTGCCACTGTGGCCAAGGCCAGCGCTACTCCTTTGCCACTGTGGCCAAGGCACAGTGCCTAATCCTTCCAGCTAGTGTTCCCATCCCACCCGCCCCATTCCACCATCCACCAGGCCGGGAAGAGCAACCCAATGAAACACAAGTGAGCGGTGAACCCACAGAAGGCAGCGACTTGTCAGTCGTGCCGAGCCAGGCGCTCATGTGTCAGCGCTACTCCTTTGCCACTGTGGCGAAGGCGACAAACGATTGGGCCGAGGCGAACCACATTGGATCGGGCGGGTATGGCGAGGTGTATCGTGGAGTGTCTCCTGTGGACCCTTCGGTGGTGTGGGCTGTGAAGCGCGCCAAGATACTCACCAATGACTTCAAGCGAGAGGTGCCTGTGTGGTGTGGTGCTGGTGTGGCGTGGTGTGGTGTGGTTTGGGTGGGGTATGAAGCGGTTGAGTGTGCTGGTGTTGGATGTGATGGGTGTATTGGGGAGTGTCTCCTGTGGACCCCTCCGTGGTGTGGGCTGTGAAGCGCGCCAAGATATTGACAAACAACTTCAAACAAGAGGTGTGTGTGGAAGATGTGAAAAGGCGAGGTAAGACACGAATGTAACTCAAACGAGAGTTACATTCGTAATACATTTTTTCTTTTTCCATTACCATGCAGATGGAGGCGATGGTATGGAATTGTCCCATCTTTAGCACAAATTCGTCACCCACCACCACGTTTTTCCTTCATTTCTGTTCTGTGCAGGTGGAGGAGATGGCATCAAAGAGCCATCCGCACTTGGTGCGGCTGTTGGGGTACTGTGTGGACATGGATATGACAACAGAGCACCACGAGCAGATTGTCATTTATGAGTTCTGCGCCAATGGAGACCTCGAGAAGTACCTCAGTGGCGGTGAGAGAAGTACCTCAGTGGCGGTGAGAGAAGTACCTCAGTGGCGGTGAGAGAAGTACCTCAGTGGCGGTGAGAAATGTGCTTAGGTTAGTTGAAATCGTAACCCTCTACATCAAACACTGGACCTTTGGTTAGAGCTACTCATTTTTTTTTCCTGTTTTGCTCAGCTACTTCCCCATATGTCAGATTGTTATATTCTAACCAAATATGTTCCTCCTATGGTCCTTATGATGTTCATTTTATCACCCTTCTCATGTACTTACCATTCTTTACTGCAGGGCCCAAAAAGGGCACGTTGACGCTGCAGCAGCGCATGGACGTGCTAGTGGGGGTGGCGCGGGGGTTGGAGTACCTCCACCAGTTTGACATCGTGCATCGAGACATCAAGCCCGCCAACGTGCTGCTCGATGCCCGCATGCAGGTAAGAGTAATATGTATGGACGGATTAGAGACCTTTGGCTTTGATACCTGTTGTTGGCCAGCTTTCTACTGACTCGGTTAATTCCTGAACCCTAAACCAACGATATCCCCCCCTTCACTACAGTCATCTTCTCCTCATTTGGGCCTCGTTAAAATACTTGGGTGTTAGTAGACCTGCATTGTGGATCCCCGATTAATCCTACGGGGGTTTACAGGTGCGTTCGTCTGGGAGGCTATGTGCGCACTGACCCATTACACAAACAAACCCTTTTATCCCGGTGTAGGCACATGCAGGTCGTTGCCACTATGCCGAGTTCTGGGTTTCCCAGTGTGGATCCCCGATTGATTCCAAGGCGGATTTACAGGCGCGTTCGCCGAGTGGTTAAATGACGCTCACTTGACGCACACTGGGACTCGAACCCGAGACCTTTGGTTTTGATTTATTGTGTGCTGCGTGACAAGGGTGTGCATGATTTTAGCATCTCCCTTTCCATTGCTTCATGATCTATCAGCGATCTCCCATCCCTCTTACTCTCCGACCTCCCACACCCGAGAGTGTCGGAGTTTGGGCTGGTGCGCATGAAGACGGAGTCACATCTGTCAGTATTCCTCCCTCCTTTCCTCCTTCCCAACCTTCACCAGCCAAAGATATCCGATTTCGGGCTGGTGCGCATGACAGAAGGCACCACAGTGAATCCCACCCGAGTGGTCGGCACTCCGGGCTATGTGGACCCCGCTTACTCGCGCACCAACAAGGCCACCCCCATGGCTGACGTGCACAGGTAGGAGCAGACAGGCTAAAAGGACAAAGCACATTAACAAGGCCAACCCGCATGAATGACATGCACAGCTGCACTGGCCTGAATCAGGGCTGCTTGCATGGCCGACGTGCACAGGTGGGTGGGCAGTTGTTTACGGGGACAGGGAATCAAGGACACCCCTTATCTAGATGGCCGATATGCAGGGGGTTTGGTAAGTAATTTCTGGACGACCAATCGGAAACATGGATTTTGCAAGGTCTTTTTGAAATCCCTCAAACCCAACATGCATGCACGGGTGTTTCCGTAAGTTAGCTCCATCAATGATTTTTCACGCTAAACCCAATGAGCATTTGTCATCCCAAGTTCATCAAGCTTTTCCATGAGTATACTCTTCTGGCATGTTCTTATGTTGAATCGTTGAACCCCCCCGTTTCTCCATCCAGCTTTGGCGTGTTGATGCTAGAGGTCATGCTGACGAGGCCTGCTGTGGTGGAAGAGAAGGGCGTCAACACCAGCATCAAAGACTGGGTGAGCACAGCACAGCACAGCACAGGACATTGCAGTACAGTGCAATTGAGAAAACACTGCATGGTTTTTTTTTTTTTTTTTTTTTTTTTTTTTCCAGTATATCTTGTAGTGTGTACAATGTTTTCATGAGCATCTGATGCACCTTTTTGTGTGAAGGATACACCTCTTGCTTACCACAGTACTTGCACACATTTCATCCACCCTCTACCTAGCAATCACAAACCTGCCGTAAATCTTTCTCTCTTCATCTTTTTTCTTTACAGGCTGCCCGCCGCGTGCAAGATCGAGACGCCCAAGGCCTCAAGGACCCTCATCTCGACAGCATTCCTAACGAGCTTCTTATGCAGGTAGTGGACCTCACATAGTTTGTGGTTGCATTCTTTCTCCCGTGTTTCGTTTTGTTTTTGTTTTGTTTTGTTTTGTTTGTTTGTTTGTTTGTTTGTTTGTTTGTTTTTAAACCCCGGGCACCTGGCTTTTTGGGTGGAATGGGTTGTCTGTTGGAATTTACTAAGCAAGCGCTCCTATTGAGCTGCTTTTGCAGGTTGTGGAGCTCGCGCTGCAATGCACCGGCATGCCTGCGTCCTCGCGCCCTCACATGCGAGATGTCGCCGCGCGATTGGACGCGCTGTCACGCGAGTTTCTGCAGAAACCGACATCGAAGGCGGATTTGCGTCTGGAGAGCATTGACCAGGAGGTGGCAATGCGGCAGCCGGAGCAGAGTTTGGATGATGAGTTTCTGCGCATTGATGTGATCTCTGGTGCATGTGATTGATATGTACCAGGCCCCCTGACTCTACTATGATTACAGTGATTCAGCGTATTCTTTCTTAATCATTCATGTTCTTGAAATGAGAAGAAGCTTGTATATGTATGTAGCACACATTTGCCCACAATTGAAGGGGCGAAGTATGATATTGGTCAGTGACTACCTGGGTCGGGATAAAGAACCATGTGTTGACTCAGCGTGTTCTGGAAAAATTGTTACGGATGATGAAGCATTCATGAACTGTGCGAGATGAGCGGATGGATGGTCTGTCGCTAGCAACAGGTCATCCAATCACGGACCTCGGAATATCGCGAAGCCTGACTCCCCCTCGCGCGACCGAGCGTGACAGACTGACAGATCCGACATGATCGCGACTCGCGCAAGCCGTACATGATCATCCCCCATCCCATTCCAAAGCGACGCTATGCATTCTAGAACGGTTTCCATGATCCACCGCTCAGAACCGCCACCCACCAGTCTGAACAGAGATAGGTCTGCTGGTAAAATAGAAGCTCCATGTATGATAGAAGCTGCTGCTTATCATAAGCAATGATTGCCTCCTCGGCTAGACTTTCGGTATCTTCAATAGCTGACTTGGTCTGGAATTTGAACGCATATCTGTAGCTTCTGGTATACTAGGGCCTCGCGCGGACTCTGAGTCAGCAGTCGCAGCGTGCCAGTCGTAGACGGAGCCTTCGTTACAAGGCCTCGCGCTGACTCCGTGTCAGATCGCAGCGCGCCAGCACTACTAAGAAGGCAACATGGACGAAGCGTCGCCTAGAAAAGCGCGTTCGCAGAATGTGTTACAGCTTAGCAACGGAGATTTTAGCAGCGCGTCTAGACTGAGGCAGCAGCAGCAGCAGCGGTTGAGTCAGGCATCCGACGCGGCTTGTCGCCATGACCGGCAGGAACCAGTAACCAGTTCGCAGAATGTGCTATTTTGTAGTACTAATGCCAATGTTAGCAGCGCATACAGGTCGACGCTGCAGCAGCAACGGTTAAATGAGCCATCCGACGCGGCTTGTCGCCATGATTGCGAGAAATCTGTAGTAATTGTGGAACGCGAAAGTCACGAACGTCGCGACGCCGGTATCTTCAAGAATCGCGAGTTTCGGCGTAGGCGACGGCAATCCCGAGGTTCATTATCGCGTGCGACTTCTGAGTCGTCGGCTCAGGAGTCTTTCTGCCAAGGCAGAGCACGGCGCTGCGACTCGGAGGCTTCGATGTTAGCGCGTGTCCCACTGCTCCTGCCGCTTCTTGTCTGCTCGAACTTTCTAAGTTACTCGCCAGTCTCCGCAGCCGTTCTCGTGGAGCAATATCAAGGTCTGTGCTTGTATCACGTGTGTGTGTGTGTGCTTTTATTGACTGTGATAATCTCACGTCTGCCCTCGAAGAAAGGGCTTGTGAAGCCATTCTGAACTTACGCTCAGTACATGACGGCTAGAGGACCAATCATACGTGAATCCCCCGACGCTAGTGACGCCCAAGCCCAATGGCAGCAGGTTTTATCATGCGTTCATTCCGTCAGATTTTCCTGTATAGAATCTGAAGTAACCCTCAAGATTCACACTGATGATACACTGCATTGCAAGTTCCCGTGCGTCTCCAGGCAAGGTATTGGCGGAGTGTGCGATGGAGATGGGTGCGACGGGTTACAATTGGAAACCTAACGCTCCCTGCACGACGGACGAAGGACTTGTGTGTAACGCCGATGGAACAGTCAACACCATGTGAGTTGTTTACAGTGAAAGGTTGAGCTGTACGCGTTATAAGCAATGTTTACGCTGCGAGCAGAACATCCATGAGACGGCGCGTTTGAATCGGTGGTTAGCTCGGAGCGGATTTGTATTCGCAAGGTGCTTTTCCTCCGCCCGCATGCAACAAAGCTAGTTCCCTCACTCCGCCTCCTCCTCTTCATGCTTCCTTCCCATGACGTCCTTTCGTTGCTCTGCAGTGCCCTGTCAGGTTTTGGATTGAATGGAAGCATTTGCTCCGCTATAGGCAACCTCACCACACTCGTTACAATGTGAGACGCTTTGATAAGTTGTTCGGCCCCAAATCCCCACCCCCTCTAACCCTTCACATCTCCCCCTCTTCCTAATACACTTCATGCTGCCCTCCCCTCCCTCCCTTCCTCCCGCCCTCTCTCCATCCCTCCCTCCGTCCGTCCATCCCTCCTCCCCTCCCTCCCTTCCTCCCTCCATCCATCCCTCCCTCCGTCCCCCTCCCACCCCTTTCTTGGTCCTGTAATTTTCACACCTGAGCAACAGCTTATTCTTAATCCCTGTTGCTGTTAGCTTCGGCTACAGGCATCTCACAATATTCTCCTGCTGACGGACACTCCCCCGCTTCTTCCCTTGCCACTCTCTCCCTGGCCCTATCACCAACAATCTCAGCTACAACTTATTGTCACGGCCTATTCCTGCCAGCATCGGACCGCTCCCCCTGCTCCCTCCCTTTGCCACTCATCCCCCCCCTCTCCCCCTCCTTACCCCCCCCCCCCCCACCCCCGCCCCACTACCAGCGATCTGAGCTACAACTTATTGTCAGGCCCCATCCCTTCCAGCATTGGCCAGCTCTCCCTGCTGCAGACACTGTGAGAGAAGGGGGGAGGAGAAACGGGTAAGCTGATTTGGGGGAAAGAGGGTCTGGGGGAAAGGAAGGGGTACAATAGTTAGGGGTAGTGTATGAAATAACCACATGCACTGTGAGGGAGAGTGCTTTGTAGAGAATGTGGTGGGATTCAGCCGCTCCCTGCTTTCCTGCTCTCGCTCGCTCGTTCTCAGTGCTCTCTCATGCAACTCTCCTGTCCCCCTCTCTCTTTAGCTCGTTCTCAATGGTGCAAGTCCCCCATCTCTCACTCTCTCGCTCCCTCTCTCACTCCCTTGCTCTCTCCGGCTCTCCCAGCAACCTCGGATACGACCATAAAGGAAGTCTTGCCTTCCAGTAACCGGCTTATCTGGCACTTCACAGTTCAGAAGGACAACAACTATCTTCCCCTCTCCCGTTGTTCACCAACGGGCGCTGACCAACCATCTTCCCCTCTCCCTCTCCCCCCATCTCTCCTCCCCTCTCTCCCCCCCTCTCTCCCCCCATCTCTCCCCCAGCGACCTCGCGTACAACTCCATAGAGGAAGGCTTGCCTTCCACCATTGGCTCACTAGCCAACCTTCAAGTCTTGTACGCGTTTCTGCACTGCCATTAGGCCCTCATTACCTGCAGCAATCTGTAAGACAGCAATGTGGTGGAAAGGCTGCTTCTCTCTATGAGTGCGTCTTTTGACGCGCCTCGACTCTAAAATTTCCTCGTTCTCTCCCTTACTTGCTTGAACTGCCTTGCAGCAATCTGTATGACAACAATGTGGTGGGAAGGCTGCCTCTCTCTATGAGTGCGCTCACCAATCTACGCATGCTGTTCGTAATTCCATCTCAATTGTCATTCCTCCATCTCATTTCAAGACTTGCTCTCATTCCTTTTCACTGTGCATGTAATCCTTCTGTACCCTTTCAGCCAGTCAGCTTGGGAACAACTCTATTGCTGGAAGCTTCCCTATTCTGCTGACGACTTTAGGACATCCCAGAAAGCCTCTCAATACTTAACTCTCTCTCACCCGAAAACCTCTGTGCCCCTTAAACCAGTGAGCTTGGGAACAACTCGATCGCTGGAAGCTTCCCGACTCTGCTCACATCACTGTCTCGCCTCACGTGGTTGTAAGTGCCTCTGCTGCTGGCAGTGTGCTGCAAATAGTGTGATGGGCTGCTGCAGTTGTGGCTTGTTGCTGCGACCCAAGCTGCAATTATGTTCACCGAATCCTGAAACGCTTCAAGGGACCTTCTTTTTCCCAGTCAGGTACTAATGAAACTGGTTATGGTCTAAACCCTAGAACCGAAACCTCGAACCCGTTTTGCCATGGGTCTACCCAACCCTCCCCCTCGGGTCACTGCCGACCGGACCCAACAAGCCTGGTTCAGGTCGGTCTCGTAGGGGTGCCTACCCAGGGCAAGTCAACGACCCAAACCCACCTCAGCCTCGGAAAATCGGGTCGGGTCGGGTGGGGTCAGGTATACCCCAAAGCTCAGGTCTACTTGATTTCGCTGGATATCTCTTTATGCGTGTTCAAGCATGTAAACTTGTACAAAAGAACATGGTGTGATAAATCTTGAAAGAAGCAACGGGATATGCTCGTGCGAACATGCAGGCATGAATGTCATGAGCACTTGGCATTGGCAGGACGTTTGGATGCACTGAAAATGGCGTGCATTCAATCTATGTCAGTCTCATGCACCGCGCATGACTCTAGTTTGAAGAAGTGTTTTGTGCCTGATTGTGTCCCATGTGTGCCTGATTGTGTCCCATGTGTGCCTGATTGTGTCCCATGTGTGCCTGATTGTGTCTCATGTGTGCCTGATTGTGTCTCATGTGTGCCTGATTGTGTCTCATGTGTGCCTGATTGTGTCTCATGTGTGCCTGATTGTGTCTCATGTGTGCCTGATTGTGTCTCATGTGTGCCTGATTGTGTCTCATGTGTGCCTGCCTGATTGTGTCTCATGTGTGCCTGATTGTGTCCCATGTGTGCCTGATTGTGTCCCATGTGTGCCTGATTGTGTCTCATGTTTGCCTGTCTGACACATGTGCCGTGCATGCAGGTCACTCTACCACAATGACTTAGCAGGATCCATTCAACGGCCCATCTTGAGAGCTCTTAATAATGAATTTGTGTCTCGTGTGTGCCTGTCTGACATGTGCCATGCATGCAGGTCACTCTATTACAACGACTTAGCAGGATCCGTCCCCTCATCCATCTCTTTCCTTTCAAGGCTCCAACTGTTGTGAGTCTTGTTCTGCCCCCCTCTTGCATCGAACCCCTCTGTTGTGAGTCCTTTGCTTTACCCCTCTCTTGTATCGAACCTATGTTGACCCGCATTGACCTGCGTTTCCCCGCACTGGCCTGCATTGACCCGCGTTGACCCACATTGACTCGTTCTCCTGCCCCAATCCCCCAGTAATCCGGGCGCCAACAACTTCAATGGAGAAATCCTTGAGGCGCCTCTATAACCACCTCATTGTCTTCGTTGGCCCTCATTCACTCGTTCTTTCTGCCCCCATCGCCCAGTAGTCTGGGCGCCAACAAATTCAATGGCGAGATACTTCCAGGGATTGCCTCATTGACCCTTGTTGACCCTCGTTGGCCCTCATTGGCCCTCGTTGACCCTCGGTGGCCCTCGTTGCCCTCATTGACCCTCATTGTCCCACGTTGACTCCTTCTCCTGCCCCAATTCCCCAGCAATTTGGGAGCTAACAACTTCTATGGAGAGATCCTTCCAGCGATTGCATCCCTCAGCAATTTAACTTTTATGTAAGACTTTCCTGTGAAAGAGTCTCTTAGCGTCTCCCAGCTAACCTACTTTTACATCAGGAGATGTTGCAGTCCCCAGCTACTTAGCTTTTATTTTATGTAAGGAGGTCTACTAGTGTTAGCATCTCTCAGCAGACTATCATAAGAGAAGGATTGTTTTATTATCTGTCACCAACCTAACTCCTATACTAGAAGGAGAACACCTGTGCGTGCAGCAACATCCTTATTTCCAAAACGGAAATCCCACCCTTTACACGGCACGCCCATTTGTACAGTGGTGACATGTCATACAAAACAACCGATCCTCTTTTTGAGGTTGTACAGTGACACGAGGTGACTTTTGAGTCGACTCAAAAGTCACGCCCATGTGTACAGTGGTGACACGTCATAAAACACAGCCATTTCTCTTTTTGAGGCTGTCCAGTGACACGCACAACCAGTCGTCAAAACTCTTTCTCCTGTGCGTGCAGTGACCTTTCATACAACCCCTTCTCTAAATCCATCCCTGACGAGTTCAGCAGGCTTACTGAGGCGTCTCAGAAGTCAATTCTTGCACGTTCTGCTGCCCATTCTGCTGCCCTTGTCCCGTGCCCTGTGCATGCAGTGACCTGTCATACAACCGCTTCTCTGCCTCCATCCCTGACGAGTTCAGCAGGCTTACCGACCTGCACCACGTGTAAGGCACCCTGCAGCACGTGTAAGGCACCCTGCAGCACGTGTAAGGCACCCTGCAGCACGTGTAAGGCACCCTGCAGCACGTGTAAGGCACCCTGCAGCACGTGTAAGGCACCCTGCAGCACGTGTAACTGTAAGGCACCCTGCAGCACGTGTAAGGCACCCTGCAGCACGTGTAAGGCACCCTGCAGCACGTGTAATGCACCCTGCAGCACGTGTAAGGCACCCTGCAGCACGTGTAAGGCACCCTGCAGCACGTGTAAGGCACCCTGCAGCACGTGTAAGGCACCTTGCAGCACGTGTAAGGCACCCTGCAGCACGAGTAAGGCACCCTGCTGCACGTGTCCCACCTGCAACACTGTTCCGTTCCTCGAAACTCGCCCCTGTCTCTTCTCCTCTTCCTCGTCCTCCACATTACATCCCTCCATACCCTGTCATTCCCCTTCATACCCCATCGCACCCATCCATACCCCATCACACCCTTCCATACCCTGTCTCACCCCTCCATACCCCATCTCACCCCTCCATACCCCGTCTCACCCCTCCATACCCCGTCTCACTCCTCCATACCCCGTCTCACCCCTCCATCAGTGTCCTTCTAGACAACCAGTTCACAGGCAGCATTCCAGAAACCCTCTCCTCGCTCAAGAAGCTCACTCACATGTATATCTGCAGATTGTGATGGTGTGGTGTGGTGTGGTGTGGTGTGGTGTGGTGTGGTGTGGTGTGGTGTGGTGTCGTGCGGTGCGGTGCGGTGTGGTGTTAGGTGGTGTGGTGCGGTGTGGTGTGCTTCTGTACAACCGTGCACAGGCTGCATGCCACAAACCTTCTCCTTGCTCAAGAACCTCACTCACATCACATGTATGCCCGCAAATTGTGATGGTGTGGTGCAGTGCGGTGCGGTGTGCTGCAGTGCAGTGCGGGCCTCTCACTCTCACCATCCCTCCTCCCTCCCCCTTGTCTCTGCCCACCCAGTGACTTCACTCGCAACAGCTTTCAAGGCACCATCCCTTCTGTCTTCGCCACTCTCACCAAACTCAACATGCTGTGAGTGAGCTGCTCTGATGCACTCCATTGGGTTGACTTTTGAGTCGACTCAAAAGTCTCTTTCAAGGCACCGTCCCCTCTCTCTTTGCCACCCTCACCAAACTCAACATGCTGTGAGTGAGCTGCTCTAACGACTCACTCTAGTTGCATGTTGCACAAGCTCCACTTCAGTACACTCTAACGACATCTAGGCGTTACAAGAAACATGCTGTCCGCTCTCAGCATCCGCTCTCATCACATGTTGAGTCGACTCTAAAGTCACCTGCCTGCCCCGTGCTCCTTCCCCTCTGGCCTATTTCTTTCCCACCCTCACCTCTCCCCTCCATTAAGTTCACACACCTGTCTTTTGAGACGTCCTAAAAGTCTAGTTTTGAGGCGCCTCAAAACTACACATCCATCTTTTGAGACATCCCAAAAGTAGCCCATCGTCACCTCTCCACTATGCTCACAGACCCGGATGAAAGGGCCGATCAAGGTTCCTTGAAATTCAACATGCGCTGAGCTCTAGTCACGCTTTTGATGCTTATGCTAGCAACAAGAATCTTATTCGAGGTATTGCTGTATCAAAGCATAGTCGTGACCTGTGATGGAACTGCGAGTGACGATACCCATGTATAAATTCTCCAACCGCCTCCAACCGTGCTGAACCCTTTTGCAGACGCTTTGACGAGAACCAGTTTTTTGGGGAGATTCCTTCCCAATTGGGAACCCTCACAAACCTCAGATACCTGTAAGATCTCTCGTAAGACGCCTCGAAAATATTGAAGCCTTAAGTCGCTCGTAAGACGCCTCGAAAACCGTGAAGCCTTAAGTTGCTCGTAAGACGCCTCGAAAACCGTGAAGCCTTAAGTCGCTCGTAAGACGCCTTGAAAACCGTGAAGCCTTAAGTCTCTCGTTAGGAATCTCACCCTGCTGCCAGCCACCTCCCCACTCGCCCAAGTCGCATCGGAGTGAAAGGCAGGAAGGAAGACATCACATAACCACCTGCCTGACAATGCTATAACGGTTCCACCCACCCATCACCACCTGCCCCCCGCTGCTCCTTGCAGGGGTTTCGCCAGCAATTATCTCAAGTGCCACTTGAAGGGCTCACCCACCCATCAACACCCCCTTTTGAGCCCTATTGCCATCACCACCTGCCACCGCACCCGCTGCTCCTTGTAGAGGCTTCGCCAGCAATGCTCTACCTTTAAAGCCCTATTGCCATCACATTACCACCCTCCACCTCCATACAGGGGCTTCGCCACCAATGCTCTCTCGGGTGCCGTTCCTCCCACCCTCGGGAATCTCCTGCTCCTCACATCGCTGTGAGTGTGTGTACAAGGGGGTGTGATTGTGAAAGAAGGTACTTTTGAGAATTCTCTTTTGAGATCACTTTTGAGAATTCTCAAAAGTCCTCACATCGCTGTGAGTGTGTGCACAAGGGGGTGTGATTGTGAAAGAAGGTGGGTGAGGGTGTGTATTGTTGGTGCTGCAGCTGTAACTGCTGATGCTTCTGCTGACCTCTTGATGCTGCTGCTGCTGCTGACGGTGCTGTTGCTGACGGTGCTGCTGGTGACGGTGCTGCTGACGGTGCTGCTGGTGGTGCTCAGCTGCTGTTGCTGCCGCCACCGCCGCCACCGCCACCACTGCTGCTGCTGCCGCCACTGCGCCGCCGCCGCTGCTGGTGCTGGTGCTGATGCTGCTGCTGCCGCCACTGCCGCCGCCACTGCCGCCGCCACCGCTGCTGGTGCTGGTGCTGACGCTGCTGCTGCTGGCTTTTCCTTCAATCAACACTGCCTTCTCTCTCCTCCCTCTCCCACACAACCCCCAGTGAGCTCAATGAGAGCGGCACAGTGTGCCCCACAGGAGCCGGGCAGCCGTGTGTGGTCCACCAGACCCCCTCCTCGCAGTTCTGCCTCGCCTGCCCCGACTTCTGCTCCTCCTGCACCAGACCTGCCGCCCATTTGTCTGATCCTGCTGCTGCTGGCCCCTCCTCTCCTCCTCCTGCAACTAACACTCCTTCCACAGACACAAACGTGCTTCCCGCCTCTTCCTCCTCGTCTGGTTTGCCTCTGGGAGCTCTCATCGGCATTGTGGTGGGCGGCGTACTCGTTATTTTCCTCCTCGTTATTGGCCTGATCCTACTCTGGAAGCGAAGGTCTACCCAAGGTGAATTTCTGGCTGTTAGGTATTCGACTCAGGTGGATTTCCTCTATTCACTCTTGTTTTTAAATTGGATTTATTTTTGTTTGTCTTACATCACGCTCCACAAACCTCCATTCGCTTTTCGTAAACACGTGTGTTACATTACTTTCCTTCTACTACAAGCTAACTCTCCGTCATAAATCCCAATTCTGTTCGTCGGAAGCTGTGCAGTCTACCTTTTTCTGCTAACCTAAATGCCATACTTGATGTATTTTATCTTCGTGAAATCAGATACTCGAGTGAGCGGCGGGGCAACAGACAACAGCCAGTTGTTGTCAGTCACGCTGAGTCAGGCCCACATGTGCCAGCGCTACTCCTTTGCCACGGTGGCCAAGGCAACGGACAACTGGGCCGAGGCAAACCATGTTGGGTCGGGCGGGTACGGGGAGGTGTATCGGGGGGTGTGCCCCGATGATCCCTCCGTGGTGTGGGCTGTGAAGCGCGCCAAGATACTCACCAACGTCTTCAAGCGAGAGGTGAGAAGGCAAGGTACCTGCGGAATTGAACGAAGGACACGAACGTAAAGACACCAACGAAAGACACGAACGTAAGTAAAAAAAAAAAAAAAAAAAAAAAAAAAAAACTGGTGTAATTTTCATCATTTTCAGTGTCGGCATTGTGGTCCACGTCAGTGGAATAACGTATGGCCCTTACTAACCCCCATGCTTCCTTCTTGGTCCAATCCAACTCTTACCTCAAATCTCCCTTTTGTTGTCCTTACCATGCAGATGGAGGATATGGTGTGTAAAGAGGCTCATCAGTCCCACAAATTCATAGCCCATATCTGTCTTTCCTCTTACCATCATTCCTCATGCAGCTGGAGGAGATGTGTCAAAGGAGATGACATCGCAGCTCATATCATCGCTTTCTGTTCAATTCCTTTCCCCAGCACAGGTGGAGGAGATGGCATCAAAGAGCCATCGTCTCATTTGGCCTCTTGTTTCTTCATCCCTTCATTTCCTGTTCTCCCCCTGCAGGTGGAGGAGATGGCATCAAAGAGCCATCGTCTCATTTGGCCTCTTGTTTCTTCATCCCTTCATTTCCTGTTCTCCCCCTGCAGGTGGAGGAGATGGCATCAAAGAGCCATCGTCTCATTTGGCCTCTTGTTTCTTCATCCCTTCATTTCCTGTTCTCCCCCTGCTGGTGGAGGAGATGGCATCAAAGAGCCATCGTCTCATTTGGCCTCTTGTTTCTTCATCCCTTCATTTCCTGTTCTCCCCCTGCAGGTGGAGGAGATGGCATCAAAGAGCCATCGTCTCATTTGGCCTCTTGTTTCTTCATCCCTTCATTTCCTGTTCTCCCCCTGCTGGTGGAGGAGATGGCATCAAAGAGCCATCGTCTCATTTGGCCTCTTGTTTCTTCATCCCTTCATTTCCTGTTCTCCCCCTGCAGGTGGAGGAGATGGCATCAAAGAGCCATCCGAACTTGGTGCGGCTGCTGGGGTACTGTGTGGACATGGATATGACAACAGAGCACCACGAGCAGATCGTTATCTATGAGATCTGCGCCAATGGGGACCTCGAGAAGTATCTAACTGGCGGTGAGAGATGTCCTTAGACTAAGTGAAATCAAATCAATACTGCATTAAAAACACTGCATTTTGATAGGGCTACTCAGAGACGCGTATATTCTGCCCCAGCTGTTCTTCCATTGTCCCGTTCAATCTTCTTATTTCTCTCCTGATATGTTCCTAGTCGGGTCCTTAACCTTTCATCCTTTCTTGCAGGGCCGAAAAAGGGCACGCTGACGCTGCAGCAACGCATGGATGTGCTGGTGGGGGTGGCGCGGGGGTTGGAGTACCTCCACCAGTTTGACATCGTGCATCAAGACATCAAGCCCGCCAACGTGCTGCTCGATGCCCGCATGCAGGTATGGGAGGAGGGGGAAAAGAGGGGGAGGGTGATGGAGTGTGGTCGGGAAGGAAGATGAGAATGAGTCTGCTACACCATACGAGTGGATGAGTGAGACTACCTTTTGAGGCACCTCAAAACTCAAAACTAGTTTTGAGGCGCCTCAAAACTGGAAGATGAGAATGAGTCTGCTACAACATACAAGTGGATGAGTGAGACTAACTCATCATGCCAATGCATTTGACTCGCCTCCCATTTACTACCTGTATGGATGTAATTTCCTGTCTTTGATGTTTGTTTAGAAGCAAGTACATCAACCTGAACATCAAGCGTCAACTTGAGTGTCAAGCGGCAGCATTAAGCATCAAATCAAACCGCTTGAAATCATTTCATCCCCTTCTTTGCCCCACACCGCACCAGCCGAAGGTATCAGAGTTTGGGCTGGTGCGCATTCTAGAAGGCACCACAGTGAATCCCACCCACGTGGTCAGCAATCCGGGCTATGTGGACCCCGCTTGCTCGCACACCAACAAGGCCACACCCATGGCTGACGTGCACAGGTGGGTGTTACAATCATCGTGCATTTCTATAAGTTGAACCCACTACTCATGTCTTAGGCTAATCCCATCAAACATTTCCATCCTAACTCCATAAATAAGTCATACCCTTCTGGCAACCTCTTAACCTATCAAGGCCATAGGTTTGATTTACTTGTTTAATTCCCCCATATGTGCTCCAGCTTTGGCGTGTTGATGCTAGAGGTCATGCTGACAAGGCCTGCTGTAGTGGACGAAAAGGGCATCAACACCAGTATCAAGGATTGGGTGAGCACATTACAGTACAGTACAGTACAAAACATTACATGTGAGGTAAACACTGCTTGCGTTTTCTTATCTTGTAGCGCCCACATTTTTCTCATGAGCATCTGGTCTGCCTTTTATTGAGAATGATACACCTCCTACTCAGTACAGTCCTCCCATACTCTTCCGTACATCTTTCCGTACATCCCATCGACCCTCTACCTAGCAACCACAAACCTGCCCCAAATATTTCTCCCACCATATTTTTCTCTGCAGGCTGCCCGCCGCGTGCAAGATCGAGACATCCAAGGCCTCAAGGACCCTCATCTCGACAGCATCCCGAACGAACTGCTTTTGCAGGTCGTTGAGCTCGCGCTGCGGTGCACCGGCATGCCTCCCTCCTCTCGCCCGCACATGCGAGAAGTCGCCGTGCGATTGGACGCTCTCTCAAAGGAGTTTCTGCAGAACACGACATCGAAAGCGGATTCACGATTCGAGAGCATCGACCAGGAGGTCGCAATGCAGCAGCCCGAGCAGAGCCTGGATGATGAGTTTCTGCGCATTGATGTGATCTCCGGCGCATGTGATTGATATGTAGCATGCTCTCGCATTTTAGTGTTTCTACGGTGATTCAGCCCTTTCTTCAGCGTTTTTATTTCGTGTTTATTTCTTTCTTTCATTATCTTGCAATGAGAATGATTTCGAAATGTACGGAGCACATCTCTAACCACAATTGAAGGGAAGGGACGTGCCATGTAGTACAGGTGTTCCTGGTTAGAGTCCCTCGCTGTAAGAGTCCCTTTTCCCCCTTGTGTAGAGTTTTCCGATATCGCCTAGGTTTGGCCCGACCCCTATAGTCCCTTTTTTGGCGGGAAATTTTGCAGCTTGACCGAATCATTGCATGAATCAGCTCCGCAGCCAATCAGAGGCTCCAGATCGAACCAGCCCCAACATTCAGGGAAAACGAGAAATAAGGGATCATCGATTAGAAAATTAACTTCGGAATTGTAAGTTGTTACTTCTCTTGAGCGTGATTAATTCTCAATCATGTCGCGCGGTCTCCAGCGCGCTCGACGACGACATCTCATTTACCTCGCTTACAAGGTAAACGAGATTTTTTTACCTTCTATTCTACCCCCAAACCATAATTAATTTTGTTTTGTTTTGCCCGTTTGTCATGCGACATTGATCAGCGCGGGGAACCGAATCTACGTAAAAGACAAAATCCAGATATTAGCAGCAAACAAACGACTCATCATGCAATTTTCCTGAACGGGACTATAAGAATCGCATTTTGCCTGGGGTTTGAAGGTTTTCGCACATAGTCTGCGCGCGGCGTCTCAGTCCGTCGGACTATAAACGAGAACATCTGTAGTTGGATGATGCCAAACAAACTGCCCAGGGACCCCTACATTGGGAAATACTGTGTTTTGTCTAATGCAACAATAATATCGTGATGCAATAGTGCTTTTATCCCTCTCATTGTTGATTTTTTGTATGTTACAAGCACAAAGCTATGGTGAGCTGGTTTTTTTTATATGAGACTAGTAATCTGGCAGGAGCCAATCTCATTGGGCAGAAAGTTTAGATCTCCATTGCCTATCGTTCCGCAATAGTGCTTTTATCCCTCTCTATTACAAGCTTCTGAATTGTTTGCGACTCCGTTACATAGAACAGCCAGTTTTCGTTAAAGGCTTTCACCCTTTTGGGGAGTCCGAAGCTGAAACGTGCGCCGTACTAAACCTGAGTCTCAACCAGTCTCTTGCCTAACCAAAATCTACAGCTTCCAATAGAGACTTCCAGGTCTTTACTGACAGAAATCGTGTTATCAGTACTTCTGTACCGTTCTGGAAGCTTAGATCCACGGATAACGGAAGCAGTTTTAAAAATCACCCACGGTTAGTCTCGTGGGACGTGTCCAGAGAGTACGTCTGAATGCGGTCGAAAAAGGTTAAAATGTGTTCCAGAGCGACTGATTAACAAACCAGATGGTTGGGTAGGGTTTTCTGCGAATCCGTTCACTGTTGGACCCGCCCTAATAGCTCAGCAGAGCAGCTACCTCCACTGACCTCCACAAGAGTGCATGATTGCGAAAGCCGTGGTAGCTCAGCTGCTATTTTTTGCCTAGTAGGCTTCAATAGGGGACGGCCTGAAAGTCGAGAAGTAGCTCAGTGGCCTCCTAACTAGCAGTAAGCGCCAATGGACGAAGCTTCGCAGAGCAGAATGCCTTCTCAAAACGTGCTAGACTCTAGGAAGGGCGATGTTGGCAGCAATGTTGGCCGCAGCGCATGGCTGATGCAGCAGCAGTGTTTGAATCAGGCATCCATTGCTGGCCGCTACTACTGCCAGACCTCATTGGCGCCGCGTGTCTCGTTAATCGTGTCGCTTCTAGTCTTCTCGACTTTCCTTGGTTATTTGCCGCTTTCCGAAGCCGCCGGCGTGGTCCTGGAGCAAGAGCAAGGTCTGTGCTTGTATCGCGAGTGCTTGTATCGCGCGTGCATCCTATTCGCGCGTGCATTGAGGGAACTTGAACGTGCCACATTTTTGTGTGTGATTTTTGGAGGCCTTGTAAAATACCGTCGCATTCCTCGGGTGTCCAGGCAAGGTTTTGGCGCAGTGTGCGGTGGAAATGGGTGCGACGGGTTACAAGTGGAAACCGAGAGCTCCGTGCACGGCGGACGAAGGCCTCGTGTGTAACCCTGACGGAACAGTCAACACCATGTGAGTTGTCTAGATCGACGAATCAGCACTCTGTTCGCAGGGGAGTGAACATGGTTGCGTTGCATCTTTGTCGCAACCAAACCTCCTGTTTGAAACACATGAACCCTGGGATTAAACGGAAATGCACCCGCAAGTGACATATACTTTCTCCCTCGTTCCCCATGTAAATCCCCGTTTTTATTATGTTGTTTTGTTTACCATCCCTCTAGTTTTTGCCATGCACTTCCCGTCCTTGTTTTGCCATTTCCATGTCTGTTCTGCAATCCCCTGCATTCGCAGTGACTTGTCTGGTGCTGGTCTGAAAGGAAGCATCTGCTCCGTTATAGGCAACCTCACTACGCTCGTTTCACTGTGAGATGCCATCTCATGTTGATAAGTTACTGGGTTCTCAATTGCCGCCCCACCCAACCCGTCAATTTTTCTGTCTTTCCTTACCGCGTTTGTGTTGGTAGGGCACGCAGATCGTTCCCAGTTGACTGTGGTGGTAGGGCTACAGGTTCGCCCTGGGGAGGGGAGCAGGCATGACATGAGCACGGGCTGGGCCAGGACCGGCCTGTGGCTAGCCCGTACCAGGCCGCCCTTGTTGTTGGGTCGGCTACGGCCCAGCAAAAACCTGGCCCTCGAACCGTGCAACCATGCGAGCCGGGGTGGAGCCGGACCGGCGGGCCGGGCCGGGCCGGGCTGGGCCGGGGCTGGCCTGGATCGGTGGCGGGCGGTACTTGTGCTCCTTTCCCCGGGCCGCTATCCGCACCGCCTAGCCCACCCGGTGCGATGCTGTGGGATCGGGTCCGTGACGGTGAGGTCACAGATCCACGCAGCCCTAGAGGAGTCGGGCTGGCGGATTGCTATCATGTCGGCCTTCGGGCCCTCCACAGATGCGTACAGCGTTGTTTCCCGCTGCGCCGCAAAGCCCGACTCTGCTGCACTTCTGACGCATCCCGTCGCGCAGCGCAGGGCGTGGCGCGTCCCTGTGCGTCCTTTCCCCCTTCCACACCGCAGCACATGATTGGGGAGCCGTTTGTCCAATACTTCGGTTTTGTCTCGGTAGTCGCACGCTCCAGGCACGTCTCGAGGTAGGCCGAGCCGGAACGCCAGGGCTGAGGCGAAGTGGGCAGGTGAGTGAGAGGTGCAGTAGCTATGAGCAAAGGGGATGGCCATCAGTCAGCCAATCCCCCGCCCCCAGGCCGATCAGGGACATTGGCTGCTGTGTGCGCCCCATTAGCGAGTTTCACTTCCATCTCCCGTCTCTGCTTGAGGAGTTGACTTTTGAGTCGACTCAAAAATCATCTTTTGACAGTCGACGCAAAAATCAGCGGGTTCACTTCCATCTCCCGTCCCTGCTTGAGGAGTTCTCCGTAGTGGTTTGTGTGGACTGCCTTCGAAAGGGCATGCTGGCCCTTCGCTGCGTCTCCACCTTACTGAAGTTGGGTGAGTGTGGGGAGGGCATCAGGCGGGAGGCTTTCTTCAGCTGCGACACATCAGGTGGGAGGCTTTCTTCAGCTGCGACGCATCAGGCGGGAGGCTATCTTCAGCTGCGACGAGTCGAGCAGGAAGGGGTGTCGGGGCCACCAGTCTGCTTTTGAGTCGACTCAAAAGCGAGTCCAGCAGGAAGGGGTGTCGGGGCCACCAGTCCGGGTGGGGATGGCTTGAATAGCGGCAGCAGGGCCGCGAGGTGGGGGTATTGCCGCACCTCCGGGGGGTGGAGGGCATCGTTGAGCTGGGTGGGTGGGGGGAAGGCTGCAGCGCACGCCACGTGAAAGAAGAGTGTTTTTGAGACGTCTCAGAAATACTCTTCTTTCACGTAGCACGGCCGCGAGGTGGGGGTATCACCGCACCTCCCGGGTCGGAGGACATCGTTGAGCTGGGTGGGTGGGGGGAGGGCTGCAGCGCACGCCACGTGAAAGAAGAGTGTTTTTGAGACGTCTCAGAAATAATCTTCTTTCACGTAGCACGGCTGCGAGGTGGGGGTATCGCCGCACCTCCCGGGGCGGAGGACATCGTTGAGCTGGGTGGGTGGGGGGAGGGCTGCAGCGCACGCCACGTGAAAGAAGAGCGTTTTTGAGAAGTCTCAGAAATAATCTTCTTTCACGTAGCACGGCCCCGAGGTGGGGGTATCGCCGCACCTCCCGGGGCGGAGGAGGGCATCGTTTAGCTGGGTGGGTGGGGGGAAGGCTGCAGCGCATGCTGCGGACGCCAGGTAGGCAGGCAAATCTGGATTCCGCTGATGCAGGTGATGCGGGAGATGCGGGAGATGCGGGAGATGCGGGAGATGCGGGAGATGCGGGTGATGCGGGAGATGCAGGTGATGCGGGAGATGCAGGTGATGCGGGAGATGCAGGTGATGCGGGAGATGCAGGTGATGCGGGAGATGCAGGTGATGCGGGAGATGCAGGTGATGCGGGAGATGCAGGTGATGCGGGAGATGCAGGTGATGCGGGAGATGCAGGTGATGCGGGAGATGCAGGTGATGCGGGAGATGCAGGTGATGCGGGAGATGCAGGTGATGCGGGAGATGCAGGTGATGCGGGAGATGCAGGTGATGCGGGAGATGCAGGTGATGCGGGAGATGCAGGTGATGCGGGAGATGCAGGTGATGCGGGAGATGCAGGTGATGCGGGAGATGCAGGTGATGCGGGAGATGCAGGTGATGCGGGAGATGCAGGTGATGCGGGAGATGCAGGTGATGCGGGAGATGCAGGTGATGCGGGAGATGCAGGTGATGCGGGAGATGCAGGTGATGCGGGAGATGCAGGTGATGCGGGAGATGCAGGTGATGCGGGAGATGCAGGTGATGCGGGAGATGCAGGTGATGCGGGAGATGCAGGTGATGCGGGAGATGCAGGTGATGCGGGAGATGCAGGTGATGCGGGAGATGCAGGTGATGCGGGAGATGCAGGTGATGCGGGAGATGCAGGTGATGCGGGAGATGCAGGTGATGCGGGAGATGCAGGTGATGCGGGAGATGCAGGTGATGCGGGAGATGCAGGTGATGCGGGAGATGCAGGTGATGCGGGAGATGCGGGTGATGCGGGAGATGCAGGTGATGCGGGAGATGCAGGTGATGCGGGAGATGCAGGTGATGCGGGAGATGCAGGTGATGCGGGAGATGCAGGTGATGCGGGAGATGCAGGTGATGCGGGAGATGCAGGTGATGCGGGAGATGCAGGTGATGCGGGAGATGCAGGTGATGCGGGAGATGCAGGTGATGCGGGAGATGCAGGTGATGCGGGAGATGCAGGTGATGCGGGAGATGCAGGTGATGCGGGAGATGCAGGTGATGCGGGAGATGCGGGTGATGCGGGAGATGCAGGTGATGCGGGAGATGCAGGTGATGCGGGAGATGCAGGTGATGCGGGAGATGCAGGTGATGCGGGAGATGCAGGTGATGCGGGAGATGCAGGTGATGCGGGAGATGCAGGTGATGCGGGAGATGCAGGTGATGCGGGAGATGCAGGTGATGCGGGAGATGCAGGTGATGCGGGAGATGCAGGTGATGCGGGAGATGCAGGTGATGCGGGAGATGCAAATGATGCGGGAGATTGCGGAGCTTCCCCAGCATTGGCGGGAGGAGTGCTTGAAGCCCCCCCAGGTCCGGCGTTCTTGCTCATGGCGGTGCTGGGGGATGGGCACTGAGGCCCTGCACTCCCTCCCTCCTCTGCCCAGATCTGGCCAGGAGGGTCCTGACCCAGGAGTCACAGGTCAAGACCTGATCAGCTAGTATTGAGAATGATCATGTGCCAACCAAGCAAGCACACGCACTCACAGCTCTACGCTACATAGCTGACATGTGGAATGCCACATTGCTGACATGTGGAATGCCACATAGCTGACATGTGGAATGTCCCATAGCTGACATGTGGAATGCCACATAGCTGACATGTGGAATGCCACATAGCTGACATGTGGAATGCCACATATCTGACATGTGGCACATAGCTGCCACATAGCTGACACGTGGAATGTCACAATGCCACGCATCGTCCCCTTTCCCTCCCATCATACAGGGGCCCACTCGCGCCCCTGAGCAGCTGAGCTCCCTCCCCTGCTTAGCAACTGACCCAAGATGCACAGCTCAGCTCAGGGCCGCACCGCACAGGTGCCACCCGCACACACACAGACAATTCTTCGCCATCTAAGACCCCTGCACCGTCTCCCCTTGCCACTCTCCCCCAGGCCCTATGACCAGCAATCTGAGCTGCAACTCGTGGTATCGGCAGGCTTCATCAATGCAAGAATTGGGTGGTTCCCCTCCTGTCCCTCCCTTTGCTACTCACTCCCCTAAACCCCCCCCCTCCCTCACACCCCTTTGACCCTCCCTCCGCCACCCCCCGCCCTGCCACCAGCGATCTGAGCTACAATTCACTGTCAGGCCCCATCCCTGCGAGCATAGGCCAGCTTCCCCTGCTGGAGTCACTGTGAGTGATACACGAATGTGAGGTCCCACGGGTCCTCACTCATGAATTTTGAGTCGACTCAAGGGCAGGGCAGCTTCCCCTGCTGGAGTCACTGTGAGTGATACACGAATGTGAGGTCCCACGGGTCCTCACTCATGAATTTTGAGTCGACTCAAGGGCAGGGCAGCTTCCCCTGCTGGAGTCACTGTGAGTGAGAGATGGATGGGGAGGAGGAACGGGCAAGTTGATTACGTGAAAAGAGGGAAGAGTGGGAGAGGGGAGGAGGAGGTGATCGATGAAGGAAGTGTGGGATGGATTACTTTTGAAATTGATTTGACCATACAACGTCATAGAGGAAATCATACCTTGCCAGCCTTCAACCATTGGCTTTTGAGCTGAGGCACCTTCGAAGAAGTAAAAAATCATCACTCCCTTTCCCTCTCTCCAACTCTCCCCATCTCTCACCCTCCCTTTACTGTTCCGTCCCTCCTGCTCACAGTGGCCTCTGGTACCACCTTGCCTCATGCTTGCCTCCCTTCTCCTAGAGGAGATTTTTGAGGCACCTCAAAAGAGGAGATGGACACCTTGCACGCCTTGCCTTCCACCATCGGCTTCAGAGGCACCTCAAAATAACTCATTTTCCCCCTCTACTCCTCTACCCCTCTTTTCCTCTCTCCATCTCCCCCCCTTTCTCCTGCTCGCAGCAACCTCCGGTATATCATCTTAGAGAATGCCTTACCTTTCACCATCGGCTTTTGAGGCACCTCTGAAAGAGCCCAAAAGTCATTTCTCCCCCTCTCCCCATCCCTCTCCCCATCTTCCCCTCTCTCCATCTCCCCACTCTCTCCTGCTCGCAGTGACCTCTCGTATAACATGTTATGGAGTGCCTTACCTTCCACCATTGGCTCCTTGTCCAGCCTTACAAACCTGTACGCATTCCTGCCTACTCTGTTACCAAGAGATTTCTCAACCGTCGGCTTGTTTTACAACCTTCAATTCCTGTACACATCCCTGTTCTGCCACTAAACTGTTGAGGTGACTCAAACTTATCTCTCCCTCCCTTCCTTTCCTCCCTCCACCCCTCCCTCCCTCGCTCCTGCTCCCTCTCCTCCTCCCTCTCTCCCTCCCCCCCTCCCTCCCACAGCGACCTAGCATCAAACACCATAGAGGGCGCCTTGCCTTCTGCCATTGGCTCCTTATCCAACCTTAAAATCCTGTACACATTTCTTCTCTGCCACACACTTGTTTGGGTTTTGAGACCTTCAGCTAGCTAGCCTGTACGCCTTCCAACTAGCTAGCCTGTACGCGTTTTGACTAACCAGTACGCTTTTGTTACTTTGTTTCTATCCTTTTCGGCTCTGTATGCGTTTTTTTTTTTTGCTCTTTCCTCCACCATGAGTCTTTCCTCCCTCTCATTGCTCCATCCAACCTCCACCTGCACACCAAACAAGTGCATTGCAAGTCGATCACACTACACCACTTCTTCCCTCACTTGTATTCTTCCTCCCTCTCATTGCAGCAAACTTTGTGCCACCAACTCAGTGAATGGAAGGCTGCCTGTGTCTAGAAAGAAATTCTTTCCAGGATTTCGGAAAATCCTCTCCCGACTATTCTTCCTCCTCTCATCGCAGTGATCTATACGCCAACCCAATCAACAAAACGGAACGATATTCCTGTCTCTGAGCGTGCTCATCAATTTCCTTTGCTTCTATTCCCTTAGACAATGACCTCTCAACAATCTCTGTTTCTTCCTTCCTCCCCTCATTGCAGCGATCTGGTTAACAACGATTTCAATGGAATAGTACCTGCGTCTCTGAGAGCACTCACGAATCTGCGTCTTCTGTTCGTCCCCTTTCCTCCATCTCATTCCCTATTTTCAGCCATTCACCGCTCATTTTCTCACTGTCTCTTTTTCTCTCCTCCTTGTCTGCTTCTTATCTTAAATCATGACTCTTAAAATATATTATAGTATTTTACAACAAGGTTTTCCACTTTGGACCAGAGCTTTCCATGCTTTCAATTCCAACCAGTCACCTCAAGAATTTAGAGAACTCTCGATAATGCCAACCAACCACCTCAAGATCAGCTCCACTCTTGTTGTGTACTTCAACTTGTCTCAAACAATTACTTTTGATTTAAATCTTCTTCGCTTCTTTCCTACCTTTCAAATATTGATCTCGGTTCCTCCTCTCTCCACCGTGCACAAAAGCCGCCATTGGGTTCTTGCTCCTTCCCATCAAATCTTAATTTCAAATCTTCTTCTTCCCACCATGCAGGCACAGCACCTAAACTGCCATTGCTTTCTTGCTCCTTCCTCTCAACTCGTGATCTCAAATTGCCACCATGCACCAAAACCGTCCTTGCTCCCTCAATCAGTGATCTGGGGAAAAACTCATTTTCTGGAAGCTTCCCCACTGTCGTCTCAAAACTAACCCGGCTCTCGTTATTGTAAGTGTCACCTATGCTAACAGCTGTGAAGTCTGGACTCCTGCCTGACTTGTTGTGACTGATGTGTGACTGACTTGTTTCTGACGTGTGTGTGACTGTCTTGTTTCTCACGTGTGTGTGACTGACTTGTTTCTCACGTGTGTGTGACTGATTTGTTTCTGACGTGTGTGTGACTGACTTGTTTCTCGCGTGTGTGTGACTGACTTGTTTCTCACGTGTGTGTGACTGACTTGTTTCTCACGTGTGTGTGACTGACTTGTTTCTCACGTGTGTGTGACTGACTTGTTTCTCACGTGTGTGTGACTGACTTGTTTCTCACGTGTGTGTGACTGACTTGTTTCTCACGTGTGTGTGACTGACTTGTTTCTCACGTGTGTGTGACTGACTTGTTTCTCACGTGTGTGTGACTGACTTGTTTCTCACGTGTGTGTGACTGACTTGTTTCTCACGTGTGTGACTGACTTATTTCTCACGTGTGTGTGACTGACTTGTTTCTCACGTGTGTGTGACTGACTTGTTTCTCACGTGTGTGTGACTGACTTGTTTCTCACGTGTGTGTGACTGACTTGTTTCTACAATGTGCCTGACTGACATGACGTGTTACTGATGGGCCACTGGCTTGTGACTGGCTTGCTGTGCCTGACGCGTGCCTTGCAGGTCACTCATTTCCAACAAGTTTGGAGGAGTCATTTCCTCGTCCATCTCTCTCCTCTCGGATCTCAAAGCAATGTGTGTCTCTCACTCTTTCAAGGCGCCACAGCAATACAATGACGAGTTTGAAGGAGAATTTTGAGTGAACAGAAAAATCACAATAGTACAACGAGTTTGATGGAATTTTTTTTAGTCGACTAGAGAATCACAACAATGCAACGAGTTTGAAGAAGATGTTTTGCTGTCTATCTCTCGCCTCTCAAGGCCGTGACTCTTTCATACAAAAGTATGACGAATGTGGAGTTGTTACCTCAACCATCTCTCGCCTCTCAAGGCCGTGACTCTCATTCTTTCATCCACTCTTTCAGTTCCCACAGAGGCACCACAAAAGTATGACGAATGTGGAGTTGTTACCTCAACCATCTCTCGCCCTTGCAAGGCCATGTGTCTCACTATCTTGCTGAGGCACCTCAACAACTCAGAGAGATTGAAGTAGTCGGTTCCTCATCCATCTCTCGCCCTAGAATCTGGAAATGGTTTATTTCTCACTCTCTCTTTTGAGGCACCTCACAATCCGCATGCTTCTCCTGCGCTGACCCCTGTTGACGTGCGTTGACGGTTGACCTATGTAGACGTGCGTTGACCTATGTTGATGTGCGTTGACCAACGCTGACCAGCATTGACCTATGTTGACCGCCATTGACTTTTGTTGGCCAGCATTGATTTATGTTGACCGGCATTGACCTACGTTGACCATAATTGACCTTTGTTAACCAGGCTCGGCCTGTGTTGACCAGTGATGTGCAGCAAGTATGTCCTAGAGGGTAGATTCTCATCTTTGATTTTAGAGGTTATGGGTTCAATTCATAGGAACTGCACTTTCCCTTCTCATCATGTTATACATTACAGATCCACACTCCACCACTACACTGTGGTGGAGTGTGGTCACAGTTAACATTGCCACCTGTCCACTCATCCCACACTCACCTTGCTGGCCTCTATAGTGTGCCATATGCTGTCATGTGGGCTGTTGTTCCAGCCTGGCCCACATGTGCAACATGTGGCCTCACTTGCTAGCTTGGCAAGGTTGGCTAGCCTTGCCCTCAGCATTGAGGTGCTGCAGCTAGCCTCAAGAGTTCAGCCACATAAATGTGGCTTCCCACTTCACTATGGATCATCCTTGGACAAGGACCTTGCTCTAGTCTTTAAGACTTGTACTATTTTCTTGCTAATGATATTTCTTCTTCCCATCGTGCCCTAAGTTCACCGATCCATTTTTCTTCAACCAGCATTGACCTATGTTTACCACCATTCAGCATTGGCCTCTGCTGACGTGCGTTGACCTCTGCAGACACCCGTTGACCACTGCTGATGTGCGTTGATCTCTGCTGACGTGCGTTGACCTCTGTCAACTCAGTCCTGTGCTCCTTTGGCACGGTGATTTGTGCCGCAACAGCTTTGGGACATTTCAGAACCAGAACTTGTTTTTGCGTTCTGACAACTTGACTTATTCGTGCTCTTTTGGAACAGTGATGTGAGCAGCAACAGCTTTAAGGGAGAGATCCTCCCACCAATAGCAGCCCTCAGCAACTTAATCTTCATGTAAGCATGTCCCTTAACATTGCCGACCAACAAGGTTCCCATGTAAGAAGGGTTTCCATGTTCGTGCAGCACGATTTCTGACAGAAATACACACGCATATATACGCACGCATATACATCTATATAATACTAACATGTACATACAGGTGAAGTGACCTCGCATACAGGACTTTTTATAAGGCACCTAGAAAACCAGTTTACAGCCAGGGGTGCATCTCTGCGAGCTCGTGCGCTTTGCTCTCTCAGGTGCTTTCTCGCTCTTCTCTCTTTTCTATCTCTTCTGTCCCTTCTCACTTTTCTCACTCTTCTGTCTCTTCTCGCCTTTCTAAACCCCTCATCTCTCTCTCTCATCTCAACCCCTCCCTGCAGCAACCTCGCGGACAATGAGTTCTCTGGTTCCATTCCATCAGATTTTGGCAGACTCACTGACTTGAAGACCCTGTAAGAAGCTTCATTCCCCACCCACGTAAGCAACACCATTCCCCAAGCAAGCAAGACAGTTCCCCAAGCAAGCAACATTGTTCCCCAAGCACGCAACACTGATCCCCAAGCAAATGCATGCAAAGCAAGCTACAGCCGCTGCATAGCCACTGCCATCCACACGCAAGAATCACTAGTCTCCTCATGTTTTGAGTCGACTCAAAACACGCCTCATGTTTTTGAGTCGACTCAAAGAATACATAACAAACTACAACCACTGCATAGCCACTGCTATCCCCATGCAAGAATCACTGCTCTCCTCATGCAAGAAATGTTATCAAGAACGACTTTTGAGTTATTGAGACGTCACAAAAGACGAATTTTGGGTTGTTGAGACGTCTCAAAAGTCAAGAATCACCACTCCCCTCATGCAAGAAATGTTCTCAAGAACCTGCTGCTCTCCAGTCACGAGGTTACTCTTATAAGTCTACTCAAAGGTCAACTCTGCTGCTTCCCATGCTAGAATCGTTTTCAAGAAGCCCTTCCTTAGCACTCTTGTCTGCACACCCATCCATCATGCCCCTTCATACCCCATCACACCCCTTCGTGCCCCATCACACCCCTTCATACATCATCACACCCCCTTCATACCCCATTTCATCCCTTCATACACCCATCAGACCTCTTTGTAACCCTTCATCAGAATACTTATGTACAACCAGTTCACGGGCAGCATTCCACAAACTCTCTCTTTGCTCAAGAAGCTTACTCACCTGTACGTCTGCGATGCAGATTGTGATGGTGTGGTGCAGTGTCGTGTGGTGTGGTGTGGTGTGGTACGGTGTGGTCAGGTGCAATAGTGTCTTCTCAGAGTTTTTCCCAACTAGGAGACTAGCAGCTCACTCACATGCATGACAATGTGGTTGTGAATTTACAGTTTTCATCGTTTTGTTAAAGAACCTACTGTCCCCATTCCTCTCTCCCACCTTCCCTCCCACCATTCTTCCATTCCTCCCACCATCCCATCTCCTTAGTGACTTCCCCTGCAACTTCTTTTAAGCACATTTCTCTCTTGAGTTGAGAGGGCCTCTCACCATCCCTCCATTGCCTCTTCCTCCCCAGTGACCTTTCCTGCCACATCTTTTGAGGAGGCGACTTCTGAATCCACTCGCAAGTCTTTCCCACCCCTCCCACCATCCCTCCCACCATCCCTCCCACTGTTTTTTCCCAACATCCCTCCCACTATACCATTTTCTTAACGAATTTGCCCGCAACCTCTTCCAAGGAACCACCTTTCTTTTGGGAGAGCTTCTCACCAAACATCCACCCCTCCCTCCCACCATCCCACCATCCCATCTCCCCAGTGACTTAGCTAACAACCTCTTTCAAGGCACCATCCCTTATTCCTTTGTCACCCTCACCGATCTCAACATGATGTATGTATGCAAAATTGGCATGTTACAATAATATAGGTGCCTCACAATTGTGTTCGAATTGGTTAGACATGCAGTAAGCTCTAGTCAAGGTTTTGATGCTATATGTGAGAAATTAGACGTTGCCTAAGTTTGTGAAGTTCCTCTTACCGTGGTTTTCCTTGATTTGTTTTTTAATTTCTTTTTAGCGTTCTGAATCAAGCTGGCAGGGTGCGAGTAGTTTCTGAATGCAAGCAAGTCTTGCTCAATATTCAAGCCTTTTTTGTGCTAGAATCTCCATCATTGTTGAACCACTAGTAATTTTTTCATTCATTCTCCAATCATGTTGCCCACTTTGCACAAACATCAATGAGAACTAGTTTACCTTCTTTCCCACATCCCATCTCCCTAGTGACTTCCCCTACCCATCTCTGAGGCACCATCCCTTGCTTGAAAGTGCCTCTTCTACCCCTCTATTTTTAATCATACACGCGCTCACCTTCTCTCTCATCATCTCCACCAACCCTCTCACCATCCACCCCTCCCACCTAACCTGCTCACCATCCCATTTGGACATGAGCAAAAAGGCGAACCTAAACAGGGCTTCTCCTTTCCTCGAAAATGTTTGACTCTAATGTGTGTATCTCCAGGTTGAACATGTTCGGTTCGATTCGTTGGAAATTCGTTTTACGTTGAACCGACCGTGTTCAACACACGAGTTAATCATAGTTGTGTAGGGATGAGCAAAAGTCAAACACGAACATGTTTGTGTTCGCCTTGCCTCGAACAATCGTGCTTGGCAAATTGAGCATGTCTGTGTTCGGCCGAACACAAACCGGTGCAGGAGGTGTTCGCCAAAACAGGCGAACACCAAGGTCTTCGCTTTGAGCACAAACGTGTTTGGGGCGAATATGTTCGTGTTCGCTTGTAGGCAGCCTTCATTATAGTCATGGTGGTTTAGGGATGGTGGATTTTAGCGTCCATAATAGTTTCACTATAATTTTTGCGTCATGGAGGAGCGTGTAGTCTAGGCTCTCGGAAGGGAGTTAGGCAAAAGTCGAGCTTAAAAATGAGCTAGACTAGTGTGTCCCGTTAAACTAAACAAAGGGTCGAGGGGCTTTTTCAACAAACACATTTGTATTCGTCGGGACGGGATGTCGAACACAAAATTGTTCGTGTTCTACGTGGCTCGGCTAGCCGCCGCGAACCGAACACGAACATGTTCGCCCCGAATGCTGGGGGAAAAAAAAAAGCAAATGTGTTGGGTTCATCTCGAACATGTCAAATAGAAAGTAATGAGGCAAATGTTTATGGCCAATCTAGCAGCACCAATTACAAGCCCAAAGCCTCTATACAGTAGTGCCCCAGATCTTCAGCTTCTGCCCAGGGTTGTGCAACTACCATGACTAAATCATCATGGCAGCGTGCACCTGGATCGCGCTCAGCCGGTGCCTCTGCCACGTGACGATATTCCTGTTTTGGCTGAATACGCGCTCACTTGCCGCAGACGTGGCGGGTACAGCCAGATAATCAATTGTACCCTAAGGCCCAGCAGCTGAGTCTCCCTCCCGTGTCCGCACACTAAAGAGCACCCAACATTCTGCCTCCCCTCCCCACCCCTTGGAACCCCTCTTTATTTCATTAGTACCTGTTTCAGAAGGGGGACAAGAGCATTGACAACAAGTAACGGTTGACATGGGTGCTTCTAGTTTAGTAATGAAGATAGTACTAGGGATTACCTAGTCTTACCCGAAAAATGGAGATCGACCTTGAAATGAGCTCGATCTTATGTTTTCGCAGCTTTCTAATCCATCCAGCGTGACATATGTTGCGCTAGTTTTTCCGCGAACATCAAATGCCCGCTGAACTGAGAGAAAATTCGGGAATTTCTCCATTACGTGTGCCGTGAACGCCCGAACATGTCAGGGCTGAACCCGAACATGCTCAAGCGAACACATAAGGCAAAAAAAAAAACAAAAACAAAAAAAAAACCATGTTCGGTTCGTCCCCGAACATGTTCAGGCGAACCGAACATGCATTCGCCCCCATGCTCATGGATAGCCCAGCTTAGCATCTTAGCATCCTAAAAGGGGCCAGGGAGAGCGTCCTGCGTCTTCTTCTGAGACACCATCCCTCACTTGAGAGGACCTCTCACCATGACCTCTCCCACCATCCCATCTCCCCAGTGACCTCTCTAGCAACAACTTCCAAGGAACCATCGCTTCATTCTTCGCCACCCTCACGAAACTCAGTGTGCTGTATGTTCTGTCTGATGGCATGTTACAGCTTTCTAGGCTCCTGAAGAATTGTGTTCTAAGCAGTTGATCTCTAAGAATGAAATGTCTCTTATATGCAATCTATCTTGATTTCTGTATTGTGTAAGAAACATTTTGTTGGAAGGTAAGTGCGATAACAGTCATTCGTTCATTCATTCTCCAATCATATTGCCCCTTTTTACAGACTCTTCGGTGAGAACAAGTTCTCTGGAGGAATTCCGTCCCAGTTCGAGAGCCTAACAAACCTCACATACCTGTAAGATTCAGCGAATTTCCTCTTTTGTCTCTTCTTTCAACATTCTTGAAACGGTGTAATCGGTAACCGCACGTTCTTGCACACTGGGCTGGCTGCGTGAATCCGTGCCGCCATATTCCATACCACCACCATGCCTATAATACTGTTCTAACACAGGTTTTCTAGAATTGTTAAAACAATTGCATGACCACAGCTGCCATACCACCACCACCACGCCTACGGGACTCTTCTCACACTGCTGCTATCCTCACACTGACATCAGATCACCACCCGTCGCCCCCGTCGTTGAAGAGAGATGATAATCAAAGCGGCTTATAATCGTTTGCATTGCTGTCCCCATTCTCACACTGTTGTTATCTTCCCACCGGCATCACATCACCACCCCCCAATGGTGTCTTCCCTGCAGGGGCTTTGCCACCAGCGCTCTCCAATGTCCTTCGAATGCCCCATTGTCATGCCATCACCACCCATCCTGCCTATTGCCATCACCACCCATCCTACCTATTGCCATCCCCACCCATCCTGCCTATTGCCATCACCACCCATCCTGCCTATTGCCATCACCACCCATCATGCCTAATGCCATCACCACCCACCATGCCTATTGCCATCACCACCCACCATGCCTATTGCCATCACCACCCACCATGCCTATTGCCATCACCACCCACCATGCCTATTGCCATCACCACCCACCATGCCTATTGCCATCACCACCCACCATGCCTATTGCCATCACCACCCACCATGCCTATTGCCATCACCACCCACCATGCCTATTGCCATCACCACCCACCATGCCTATTGCCATCACCACCCACCATGCCTATTGCCATCACCACCCACCATGCCTATTGCCATCACCACCCACCATGCCTATTGCCATCACCACCCACCATGCCTATTGCCATCACCACCCACCATGCCTATTGCCATCACCACCCACCATGCCTATTGCCATCACCACCCACCATGCCTATTGCCATCACCACCCACCATGCCTATTGCCATCACCACCCACCATGCCTATTGCCATCACCACCCACCATGCCTATTGCCATCACCACCCACCATGCCTATTGCCATCACCACCCACCATGCCTATTGCCATCACCACCCATCATGCCTATTGCCATCACCACCCATCATGCCTATTGCCATCACCACCCACCATGCCTATTGCCATCACCACCCACCATGCCTATTGCCATCACCACCCACCATGCCTATTGCCATCACCACCCACCATGCCTATTGCCATCACCACCCATCATGCCTATTGCCATCACCACCCACCATGCCTATTGCCATCACCACCCACCATGCCTATTGCCATCACCACCCATCATGCCTATTGCCATCACCACCCACCATGCCTATTGCCATCACCACCCATCATGCCTATTGCCATCACCACCCACCATGCCTATTGCCATCACCACCCACCATGCCTATTGCCATCACCACCCACCATGCCTATTGCCATCACCACCCACCATGCCTATTGCCATCACCACCCACCATGCCTATTGCCATCACCACCCACCATGCCTATTGCCATCACCACCCACCATGCCTATTGCCATCACCACCCACCATGCCTATTGCCATCACCACCCACCATGCCTATTGCCATCACCACCCACCATGCCTATTGCCATCACCACCCACCATGCCTATTGCCATCACCACCCACCATGCCTATTGCCATCACCACCCACCATGCCTATTGCCATCACCACCCACCATGCCTATTGCCATCACCACCCACCATGCCTATTGCCATCACCACCCATCATGCCTATTGCCATCACCACCCATCATGCCTATTGCCATCACCACCCACCATGCCTATTGCCATCACCACCCACCATGCCTATTGCCATCACCACCCACCATGCCTATTGCCATCACCACCCACCATGCCTATTGCCATCACCACCCACCATGCCTATTGCCATCACCACCCACCATGCCTATTGCCATCACCACCCATCATGCCTATTGCCATCACCACCCACCATGCCTATTGCCATCAGCACCCACCATGCCTATTGCCATCACCACCCACCATGCCTATTGCCATCACCACCCACCATGCCTATTGCCATCACCACCCACCATGCCTATTGCCATCACCACCCACCATGCCTATTGCCATCACCACCCATCATGCCTATTGCCATCACCACCCACCATGCCTATTGCCATCACCACCCACCATGCCTATTGCCATCACCACCCACCATGCCTATTGCCATCACCACCCACCATGCCTATTGCCATCACCACCCACCATGCCTATTGCCATCACCACCCACCATGCCTATTGCCATCACCACCCACCATTCCTATTGCCATCACCACCCACCATGCCTATTGCCATCACCACCCACCATGCCTATTGCCATCACCACCCACCATGCCTATTGCCATCACCACCCACCATGCCTATTGCCATCACCACCCACCATGCCTATTGCCATCACCACCCACCATGCCTATTGCCATCACCACCCACCATGCCTATTGCCATCACCACCCACCATGCCTATTGCCATCACCACCCACCATGCCTATTGCCATCACCACCCACCATGCCTATTGCCATCACCACCCACCATGCCTATTGCCATCACCACCCACCATGCCTATTGCCATCACCACCCACCATGCCTATTGCCATCACCACCCACCATGCCTATTGCCATCACCACCCACCATGCCTATTGCCATCACCACCCACCATGCCTATTGCCATCACCACCCACCATGCCTATTGCCATCACCACCCACCATGCCTATTGCCATCACCACCCACCATGCCTATTGCCATCACCACCCACCATGCCTATTGCCATCACCACCCACCATGCCTATTGCCATCACCACCCACCATGCCTATTGCCATCACCACCCACCATGCCTATTGCCATCACCACCCACCATGCCTATTGCCATCACCACCCACCATGCCTATTGCCATCACCACCCACCATGCCTATTGCCATCACCACCCACCATGCCTATTGCCATCACCACCCACCATGCCTATTGCCATCACCACCCACCATGCCTATTGCCATCACCACCCACCATGCCTATTGCCATCACCTGCCTCCCCCCACCTCCCTGCAGGGGCTTCGCCACCAACGCTGTCCCACCCACCCACCCGTCAACACCCGTCCCCTGCAGTGGTCACCTAGATTTTTAAATGCCCACCCACCCATCAACACCCGCCACTACTTCTTCCTCCTTACAGGAGCTTCGCCTCCAATAATCTCTCGGGCACCGTTCCACCCAACCTTGGGAGTCTCCCGCTCCTCATGGAGCTGTGAGTGTACAGGGAGGTGTGCGTATAAGGGGGGAATGTCAGTGTAAGTGGGGGTGTGTGCCGAAGGGGATAGATATTGGAGTCAACTCAAAAGCCACCAATGCTCTCACCCCCACCGTTCCATCCACCCTCGGGAAAATCCTCCTTCTCACAGTGCTGTGAGTGCGAGGGGAGGTGTGAACGTGACGGGTTGTTTTAAGTTTGAGGGTGTGAGTGAAAGGGCAGGGGTGAACGCTACCTTTTCTCTCTCTTCCACACCACACCAATCCTCCCCTCTCCCCCGCCCTCCAGCGAGCTGAATGAGAGCGGTGCAGTGTGTCCCACAGGAGCCGGGCAGCCGTGCGTCGTGCAGCAAACCCCCTTCCTTCGATCAAGGCTAATTTCTCCCCCTTTCCCCTGCCTCCCAGTAATCTGACTGAGAGTGGTGCAGTGTGTCCCACAGGTGCTGGTCAGCCGTGCGTGGTGCAGCAAACCCGCTCCTCGCAGTTCTGCCTCGCCTGCCCCGACTTCTGCTCCTCCTGCTCCAACAGCCCTGCCCCTTCCCCTGGCTCTCCTGCTAGCCCCCCTCCTCCTCCTCCATCCACCAGCACTCCTCCTCCTCTTCCTCCTCCTCCTCCTCCTCCTTCCACAGATACACCTCCCTCCACTTCCTCCTCCCCCTCCTCCTCCTCGTCCGGCCTGCCTCTGGGAGCTATCATCGGCATTGCTGCTGTGGGGGGCGTACTCGTTGTTGTCCTCCTCGTTATTGGGCTGTTTCTGCTGTGGAAGCGAAGGTCCAGCCCCCAAGGTAAAATTCTGGCCGGTAGCCTGATGGACTTGGATGTCCTGTATTTGCTCTTGTTCTTGCTTTGGATTTCTTTCTGTTCGTCTTACTTCACCTCTCCAGCACCCTCCCGTCTGTAAACACTGGAAATGCGTGGTTTTTTTTGTTTTTTTTTTTTTGTTTTTTTTTTTTTTGAATTCTCAGTCGTTTAGGAATTTTTCCAGAATAAATAATAATAATAATAAAAAAAAAACGTAAACGAATTGTCCCTTCTCTTCTGTTGTGTCGTGTCTGTCATATGCTGCTGTGCTACATCCACCCTGTGTTCCATCCATTCCATTCCCACACTCCTCCAGCCCACACTTCCCCATGTTGTGTTACGGGCCCATGAAGCTCAAGCGAGCAACGGGTTGACAGAAGGCATTCTTTAGACTTCTTAAAACCCTTGTCATGCCATCCCATCCCATCCCATCCCATCTCATCCCATCCCACAATCCACCAGGCCAGGAGCAGCCCAAGGACGCACAAGCAAGCGACGGGGCAACAGAAGCCGGAGAGGTGTCGGCCATGCCGAACCAGGCGCACATGTGCCAGCGCTACTCCTTTGCCACTGTGGCCAAGGCGACTGACAACTGGGCAGAAGGAAACCGTATTGGGTCGGGCGGGTATGGCGAGGTGTATCGTGGAGTGTCTCCTGTGGACCCTTCGGTGGTGTGGGCTGTGAAGCGCGCCAAGATACTCACCAATGACTTCAAGCGAGAGGTGTGTGTGTGTGTGTGTGTGTGTGTGTGTGTGTGTGTGTGTGTGTGTGTGTGTGTGTGTGTGTGTGTGCGTGCGTGCGTGCGTGCGTGCGTGCGTCGGTGCGTGCATGCGTCCGTGCGTGCGTCGGTGCGTGCGTGCGTGCGTGCGTTCGTGCGTGTGTGTGGTGGGGTGTGGTGTGGGGTATGAAGCTGTTGACTGCGCTGTTGTAGGATGGGATGGGTGTACTGGGAAAGCTGCCCTGTGGACCCGTCGGTGGTGTGGGCTGTGAAGCGCGCCAAGATACTCACCAACGACTTCAAGTGAGAGGTGTATGTGGGATTTGTGAAAGGGCGAGATAAACACATAAGTGTAAGGAAGTGAAAAGGAACAGTCGTACTATTTGTAATGATAATATTGATGGTAGTGTTTGAACTAGTAGATATAGTAACAAAAATCATTATTATACAACGAGATAATGCCCCTTATTTCCCCCCACAATTTCCTTCCCAACTCTTTCCACAATTTTCCACTTCCTTCCATTCCCATGCCATCAAAGATGCCATCAAAAAGCCATCAGCTCATTTGACCTTTTTTTTCCTCTTCCCTTCCTTTCCCCATCTCGAGCAGGTGGAGGAGATGGCATCAAAGAGCCATCCGCACTTGGTGCAGTTGCTGGGGTACTGTGTGGACATCGATATGATGACAGAGCACCACGAGCAGATCGTCATTTATGAGTTCTGCTCCAAAGGGGACCTCGAGAAGTACCTCACTGGAGGTGAGAGCGGTCACTGGAGGTGAGAGGGGTCACTGGAGGTGAGAGGGGTCACTGGAGGTGAGAGGGGTCACTGGAGGTGAGAGGGGTCTTTCAATGGCGATGAGAGAAGTGCTTAGGGTTGGGTGAAAAGGAGAAACAATGCTATGCTGAAACATTATGCTATGCTATGCTAGTTAGGGCTACTCACATGCTCTTTTCTTCTGCTCCAATTTCCAGGTATCCTGTTCAAACTCCTTTTTTCAATTGTAATATGTGTCCTCATATGATCCTTCTATAATTTCCCTTAACTCGGTGCAGGTTGGGATTCATCCTAACATCCTTTACCGCAGGACCCAAAAAGGGCAACGTTTATGCTGTAGCAACGAGTTGACTTTTAATTCGACACAAAAGTCACCAGACCAGTTCACCCCATCATCTTCCCATGTAGGGCCCAAAAAGGGCGAGCTGACGCTGCAGCAGCGCATGGATGTGCTGGTGGGGGTGGCGCGGGGGTTGGAGTACCTCCACCAGTTTGACATCGTGCATCGAGACATCAAGCCCGCCAATGTGCTGCTCGATGCGCGCATGCAGGTACGGGAGGAGGATGAGAATGATTCGTAAGGATGAATCTGTTGAACGAACTACTGGATGGAAGTGACTTTTGAAAACTCTCAAAACTGTCTCCGATGTATCTGAAAAAGGTGTATATGGATGAGCAAGTGGGTGAGTCCATGGAACGAACAAGTGGATGGGCATATGTCAAGCATGCTAGTGTTTCATCTCGCCCGCAGCCTGCCCCATTTACTACCCAATGTTTTTATCTCGCTGGTATGGGTGTCAATCTCTTTGGGAATCAAGTCTGTCAACCTATTGGGAAAGTTTGGGGTATTTTGGCAGCTTGTGACATCCTCATAATCACCCAAAGTCCTAGCAGGTCAAATTTCAGGATGTAAATCACCTAAGGGCCATTTCTAAGGTTTAAAATACCCATGGTCAATTTCCAAGGTCAATTACCCAGACCCAATTTCCATTGTATGGTAATGTTTGTTGTCAATTGGGAGTCTTTCTTTTGAGACAAAAAAAATTGTTGAGAAACACTGGGACTTGAACCATATACCTTTTGCTCTGATACCACTTGATGGCCCACCCTGCTACTGACTGCATTAGAAATGCTGTTTGGTCGGTAGCACAACATTTACCCTCCAGGACGCACATGTAACCCTATGTTGGATTATACACTTAGGAGCCTTAGCGTTTAGCGTTGGTATGCTGGCGTGTACACGCAACATGCAAAACGCTAGTGAAAACGCTATACGTGGCCCTATTTTTTTGGGGGCAGCCTGGCCGACCCAAACATTTTCGAATAGCTCAAACGATGCTGAATTGCATGACGAGCGATTCTGCGTAGTCAGATTGCACGTCCGCATTCTGTGCTGGCGGGAAAGTGGCTTTATCTCCTGTAGGGTTTGCCTAGTCTATTCAACTAGGTAAGAAATCGAGCGCGGTAGCTTCTGTCGAGATGTGGGGGGGATGGATTGAGAGGAGTAGTTGTGAGTTGCGTCTAGCTGTTTCGCGAAAACAACTCGCAAACATTTTGACTCGATCGCAGGTGATTCGCCAACAAGGCACGACAAATTTCACTCGCTCGCCAAATTCGCGACCGGTGGAAATTGTGGTGGTTGGGTACAAATGTGTTCTCAGATCTAAACCCAACCATTCCTCTCAATTTCTCTGTTAGGGTTACGGGACAAGATTCCCGCACGGTCGACGAGTATGAAAAACTCCCCCGAGTAGCCGAAAATGCTCGTCAGTAAGGCCGACTACTCGACGAGCACAAATAAGTCGCCGAGTATTACTCGCCTAGACTCGGCCGAGTATTTTTTGCCAAATCCCGTACTCGTTACTCGGCCCTGGAAGAGTAACTCGGATGAGTCGAGGTGAGGAACTCGTCTCGATGACCATGTCTATTTGCACCTTCACATTTTGCATGTTCACAAATGGATGGCCATGGAAATTTTATCATGGGGAATTTGTTTTTGGAGAAACACATCCCACAAGAAACTCCAGTTGACTCACCCCCGGAGGTGTTTTTGTTTTCCTGCCCGGGAAACTTTTTTTCCTGCCCAAAAAAGCGTATCCTCGATCAGACCGCTCCAGCGTATCGCGTGCAAACGCTAGCGTATATATGACACGCGTATATAAGCTAGACGTGTTTAATCCAGCATAGCTGTAACCGTCTCGCACTCAAATGGGAAACGATCCTAATGCCCCACCAGAAATCTCATTTCACTGGGGTCGCCTTCTTCTCACTTGGGGCTCGTTACAGCATTGGCGCTCACTTGGCGCACACTGGGACTCGAACCCGAGACTTCTGGCTCTGATATCACTTGTTGGAGTAGCTTGCTACTTGATGAGCTATAAAACAAAAACATGCTGATTTGGTGGGGAACACACCCACTACCCTCCAGGACACACCTTCAGCCCCCTGAAATTACAACTGGGGTACGATATTAGTGCCCCACCAACACTGCTAGCAAGGGAGTGTTGCTTGGCCAGGCTGTGCATGATTCCAACATCTCCCCTTTCATTGCTTCCATCAACAATCTCCCATCCCTCTATCCACCCACCCCGCACACCCCAAGGTATCAGAGCGCATGACAGCAACCTTCGTGTTTTTCTTCTCTCCTCCATATGCCACCCCCACCAGTCAAAGGTATCATATATCGGGCTGGAGCACATGACAGCAAACTTTGTGTGTTTCATCTCACATCCCTTCATCTCCAGGCAAAGGTATCAGATTTCGGGCTGGTGCGCATGACAGAGGGCACCACAGTGAATCCCACCCGAGTGGTCGGCACTCCAGGCTATGTGGACCCCGCTTACTCGCGCACCAACAAGGCCACGCCCATGGCTGACGTCCATAGGTAGGCTAAGGACAAGGCCACCCCTATGGCTGACGTGCACAGGTGAGTCAAGGTAGAGGGGAATCACCCCCATTGCCGATGTGCCGTGTTATCCCGTCCGGTCCTGGAGGCATTCAGCCCCACGTCCCAGGCATTTCTTACGCTAATCTTATCAAGCATTTCTCATCTTGAGTTCATCAACCACTCTTATAAGTCGCACCCTTTTGGCATTCTCCTTTGCTGACTTTTTCTTATGTTGCTGGACCCCTCAAAGCTATAACTTTTATTAACTCTCTGAATCTCCCCATGTGTGCTCCAGCTTTGGCGTGTTGGTGCTAGAGGTCATGCTGACGCGACCTGCTGTGGCGGAAGAGAAGGGCGTCAACACCAGCATCAAGGACTGGGTGAGCACAGTACAGCACATGTGATGACAACAATGCACGCATTTTTTTTTTTTAATCTTGCAGTGATTAAAACACTTCCGTACGCATCGGATGCGCCATTTCTGAGAATGGTGCACCCCTTTTGAGCATCGGATGCTGATGCATCGGCACATTAGTCGCAACCTCTTCCTTCCACACATCCCATCCACCCTTTACCTAGCAATCACAACACTGCTCCAAATCTTTCTCCCTCCATCGTTTATTTTTTCCAGGCTGCCCGTTGCGTGCAAGATCAGGACGTCCAAGGCCTCAAGGACCCTCATCTTGAAAGCATTCCTAGCGAGCTGCTTTTGCAAGTCGTTGAGCTCGCGCTGCGGTGCACCGGCATGCCTGCTTCCTCACGCCCGCACATGCGAGAAGTCGCCGCGCGATTGGACGCTCTCTCAAAGGAGTTTCTGCAGAACACGACACCGAAAGCGGATTCACGTCTCGAGAGCATCGACCAGGAGGTCGCAATGCGGCACCCCGAGCAGAGCTTGGATGATGAGTTTCTGCGCATTGATGTGCTCTCTGGTGCATGTGATTGATACGATGTCATATTCTGTCAGAGAAATTAGAGTTATACATCAGACAAAACCACACACTTCTATGTGTTGGGCTGAGAAAAGCCCCTAGGATCTTTGCAAGGCTAAACTCTGGGTAGGAATGTTGTAGTTGTCGCTGACCTTTGACTTTCGCGTAACCTCCAGCAGTTACTTTTCTTCTCAACCTCCGATGGTTGACTCGCCGATGCTTCGTTGTGCTTCGCTTCATGTACGACTTAGTGCTTCGACACAGCAGAAGCGCTTAAATCACTTGTTTCCAACACTATGGAAGTCGACTCTTGCAGTATCTACATTGTGAACGCTTGCGATTTGCCTTGCAAGCAGGGCCTCAGATTCACTTTGAGGCACGTAAGGGTATCAGGGTTCCTCTGCCCCTAGACCCTGATCGTCAGGGTCGTCTTGGAAAAAAGCCTGAAAGTTCAGTGTTACTTAATAAAAAAGTCTGATCTATCAGTGTCCCCCACAGAAAATGGGTGATAGCAGTAGTAATCTTTATTTTAAGTTAAAAACAATACGAAGCATGCAAACAGCCTTCAATTCAAACCAAATCCTATCTTGCTAGCAAGCAAGCTAAGCATGGAGTCTGGGAGCATTCTAATCAAAAGTCATCATCAAAAGAAGCTTGCTCGTCTGCATCATCTCTTTCTAGTTCGTCCATCTCCTCCTCCTCTAGGACCTCCTTTCCCTTGCTACCGCTCCCCTCCCCCTCTCTTGCTGGTGGTGCCACCACATTGCCGAATGGGCGGCGCTTCTTGTAGCTGCGCCAGATCTGCACCACCTCATTGTAGTTGGGCTCATACTCCAGCAGGGACATCGTGATGAGGTCTTCGAGGCGGGCGTCCTTCAAGCTCCCTCGCTGCCACGATTTGATCACGTTCTGGCGTGAGAAGCCACGCTCACACTCCACAGTGCTGAGCGGCAGCACGGCGACAGCCACCCAGAGACGCACCAGATTGGGGTAGCTTGCCGCCCAGTCGCTTGTCTTCAGCACTGCCGTGAGGCCGGCGAGGAAGCTGCGCTCGTTCTTTGGGGCACCAGCGAGGATGGGGCAGAAGGCACGCAGCTCCTTGATCGCACGCCGCTTGTCGACCCCTGCCACATCAGGCAGAAGGGAAAAAGAGGGGAGTTAGTCAGGCTGGTATACGTCTAAAACGCAAAGTTGTAACATACGGTCAGGCACAAAGCGAGAGCGGGAATACCTGGAATGATGTAGTCCGTGTCCTGTGCCCTGAACAACCTCACGAGAGACTTGAGCCACTCGAGACACTGCCTGTGGCGCTCCGCTCTCCCCAGCTCCCACTCGTCGGGCATGAACAGCCGCACTCCCACCAGAGAGTCCAGGTCCTTGAATCGTGTGGTGAGGTTTTTTACGAGCGCCTCGGAGAAGGTGGTGCAGAGATCGACGCAGGCGTCGTGGGAGCCGAGAGTCGGGTAGTCGTCGTCCGGTTCCTCGTGCAGCTCGAAGGTATGTGTAGTGGGCCGCCCGTCCGAGTCGACTCCCTGCACCTTCACCTCGGGTTTGCCCCCCTCAGGTCCGTGCTTCTTGATGAATGGCGAGAGTCGCGCGCTCACACCGCCTCCAAAGTCGTCACCGCAGTCGACGTAGCGGGACTCAAGGAAGGAGATGGACCGGCGGATCTACCCGTGAACACCAGCAATGTCCAGCTGTTGGGGGTTCAACATGGATGAAAAAGTGTGGAAGGCAGACCAACTCAGAGCTGTGGTAGTAACACCAAACATTGGAGCAAAACCAGCAACAGGGCACATATTCAAGGTTTGTACGAAACCATGCTCACCTCACGCTGCTGGAATGCCTTGTTCAGCACATTGAGCTGCTCGAGTACGTCTGCAAGGAAATATAGCAGGAAGTGAAACCTGTAGCTCGTGACGAGCTTGTACAGGGTGCTGTCCCACTCGTACAGCATCACGATCAGCGCGGGGAACACCTCTACCGCGCGCAGAATGGCGTCACCGCGGGAGAGCCAGCGGACGTCGTGGATCCCCTGCAGCTCCAGGTTCGTTTTCGTGAAGACCTCCTGCAAGCCCATGAACCGTTGATGCCACGGGCCCGAACGCCCCAAGTACTCTGCCACTTGGCGGAGCAGGGCGTCCACCATCCCGAACTCGGGGAGTTCTTCAGCGGCGGCCTTTGCGGCGAGCGCCTCCCTGCATGCACAACAACAAGCAAACCAGGTCAACTAGTGATTACCACGGGTGGCTGCGGATTCATTAAGGGGTGCAGGAAACACAACATAAGAACCCACCTGTGGGCGATGCAGTGGCTCGAGACGAGGTGCGGGATGCGCAGGCGAAGTCGTGCGACCAGGCCGTTGTGTTTCCCCATCATGACACTCGCACCATCAGTGCTTATGCCGGATATCCTCGCCCATTCAATGCCCACGGCCTGCAGGTGGGATAAGAGCACTGACAGGAGAGAGGCTGCATCGCCCTTCTCCACGGTCAGCAGGGCAAGAAACTCAGTCACGGGACGACAGTCACGGATGAAAGACGCGAAAACAATCATGTGCTTTCCAGAGCACCTGTCCGTGCTTTCGTCACATGTGATGCCTAGGTATGGGCTGCTATGGATGTGCTGCAGTTGCGTTGTGTGCAACCACGTAGCCATCGACTGAGTCAGCTGCCCAAAGCCGTATCTGCAGCGCAGGTCAAACAACACAATGTTAGACCGGTTATTAATCTACATATACACGGTTGCAACCCGAGAAAACGGTAACTCACGTCGTGTAATAGGTACCGTAGCCCTTAGCGGGGAACCCAGGCACCTTCAGTCGCGCGAGGTAGCGCACGAGATTCACCCATAACTCTATGGGTGCATCTTGCTTGGTCACGAAGAGCAGCGAGTCGAGGAGCCTGCTGACACGCTCCTTCTCCGTGTCGCGAGCGATATTGTCGCTGTTGATCCGTGGCTGCGTGGATGCTTCGTCGAGTAGCTTCTTCTGGTGTTTCAACGCCTCCTTGTGCTTCGTAGTTGCCGCATGCCGTTTGAACGCCTGCGTCTGAACGTCTGTGGCGCCCTTTCCGCCTCTCCCGCACGGTCCAGCGTAGCTTGCATGCTCCGTACAGATCCTGCACTTGAAAGCAGGGAAACCGTCAGCCTTTTTTAGCAGTATGACCCAAGGAAATCGTTCTTGCCACTCGCTCTTGTACTTGTACAGAGCCTCGGCGTAAGTTGCGTCTGGCCCTGCTGGTTTGGAAGGCCCAGGTTTAGAAGGCCCAGGTGTTGAGGGCGACGCCTGCGTGCCTGCGGTCGCGGGCGTCGACCGTTGGTCGGCTGGCGAAGCCGGTGCTGCTCCAACGGTGCCTCCCTTCTTTCCCCACGGAATCGTTGACTGCATGTACTTGGCGGACTTCTTAGCCACAGGTACCGCCGCAGATTCTTCACCTGCAGGGTTGCAGCTGTCTTGCTCCAACACGGGCGCAGTTGGGGAGGGACACAGCGGCTCGTCGATTGGTTCAAACGGGATGTTGACGGTCGGCGCGACTGCAGGATCCTTTCCATGGTTATCTACTGCCGCTAAGCTGGAGAATAGCAGATCGAGTCCGGTAACTGCCGCGGACAGATCGATTGGCGAACGACGAGCGGGTTCATCGTCGTGGTCATCAGGTCGTTCAATGGCGTCCGGGTGGTCCGCCATTGGCTGCAGCGCAAACGAGCAGCATCTAACGGCACTACCAAGCTAGCCTAACGGAGGTTTGCCAGGAAGAGAGAAAACACGGCTGACTGCCTCTTGGTACACCACCAGGCAGCAACACGTTGAAACCGTACCCTTGCTAGATGGAAGGAAAGCCAGGAGCAGGCTGGGGTGGGAGATTGGATGGCTGGTAGCACAGCAGGGCGGCGTGGATGCATCCGTTCTTGCCAGTACGTCTTCGACAATCCGGGCCACAGGGCCACAGGTCCACATGTGCATCACATGGGCCTGAATCTCTCGTTGCTCTGCAACCCCGTAATTGGCCAAATCAGGAAATGCTGTCAAAGTGGCCAATCATCGCAGCACGCGCGCCAACAATGCATCCCTGGTCGAGGGCAAATTTGTCTTCTACTCACCGCCACGCCCTGCTGACACCGCGGGAATCTGATATTCCTAGTACAGCCGGGCAACTACACTCGGCCTGTGTAGGAATCGCTTTCAGGGTCGGATTCGTTACAACGTAGTGGCATCAGTGTCACTTGGAAAAAATTGCTGAAATTTCAGAGTCATGTGCTAGGTAAAGGCTGAAAAATCAGCCCCACTAAAAGCTGAACACTGGAAAATCAGGCTAGCTAAAAAAAAAACCCTGGAAATCAGGAATTTCAGGGAAAAATTCCTGATATCGTAGGCCCTGCTTGCAAATGCAACGTCTCATTTCAGCTGGGTAGTACAAGATTTTTATCGTCCAAGCATTGTACAACATACGTGGGTGGGTACAAGATGTTGCGAGATGCTGCGATAAGGTGATCCTGCGAGATGGTCACGTATAAATCCTTTGCTGTCTCGCTTCGTCAGCTCCCAAGCCTTTTGAAGATGCGATCCGGGACTCCCGCACTAGCTGCAACCGTGGCTGCGCCTTTGCAAAAGGAGTGGGTGCCAAGGTGTGTTGAATCGATGCCTGCAGCTTCAAATGCTTGCATACACCATGTGCGGATTGTAGTGTAAGATGGGGCAGTGTCCTCTGAAGATGGCGGTGAGGATCCGCGAAAAACGCGTATCAGAGGCCCTATGGTGGTCGGCCTGTAATCTGCAAGCCGAAAGAAATGGCGGGTGCACCTTACCAGGCAGAATGGTCCATCCGATGCGGCGACAGGGACCCACACACCCTTACCCTCCTGATCGGTCTTTGAGTGTGGGATTAGTAGCCACATTGCGGTTGCCTCAAATTGGATGTCCTCCCATTGGATTGCCACTAAGTCCGAGAAGCGCAGGAATGCAGAGTACATGAGTAGCACGATCAGGCCTTTGTGATATTTCCCCGGTTGAGTA